AAGGTAAGCCGAAAATACCCGGGATATCTTGATTCCTCTTGACTTCTTTACAGGGCTAGCTAGAAAGCAAAGGTGTATTATGAAAATCCACATATGGCTGACAAACTTAAGCGTAGCATACGTAACGCCATTTTCAAGATAGGGCCAGATATATGTGAAAAAAGTGGATGAAGCGGTTAACTGCCGCACAGAAAAGCAAGCGAGCCCATTTTATTAATGTTGAATTTAAGTAAAATGTCTCTAAATACATCCAGTTGTTTTTTGACGGCATCATTTTAGAATTGCCCCTACCAGATAACTGTTCTTGCACAAAGCAGGCTTCCGTTACTTTGTTACTTCCGTGTAACATTTCACATCGACCAGCCGGCTCAATCAGTGAGCTACTCAATTAATGTAATTCTCAAGGCTTACCTCATGAAGCCCGACTGCGAAAGTGCAAAACTAGCTGCGTTTGAGTATCGCTGTAGATACGCAGTCGCATCTTAATGAGTCTTAATATAGTGACCAAGTTAAAAGGCGATATTGCAGAAGATGCATGCTCATAAGTAAAGCGTCTTTCTTTTTACGACATATCACCATCTAAAATAATGGTGTATCAGGTAAGATTCGATGGTCAACGAGATTTCTTTGTGCCAAATTGCATCTACAAAGAAGAACGTTTTACAGTGTTTTTCAGAGGAACCGAGCGACGTTTGTTTATCACATGTGAAGGTTAAGTAGCAACGGGCTCCGTTGCTATTTAACCTTAAATGTGATACATTCGTAACGCGTACGGGAGAAAAGTGTTTAGAATAAATACAAAATTATTTTAAATTGTTGTATTGTCACTATTAAGAGGTTTTGGCTAGCCCCTCAGGTCATATTAATTCTAATTTCCTCCGACCAGAAAACAAAAGGCCATGGAAACGTCTTAGGTCTTAAAAAATATTTTGTAAGGTCACCAGTCAGCACGATTCAGTGAAATACAGAAACTAATTGTTTCTCTTTTTATATCAATTCCGTATATGATGCCATTTAGAATGATTAATTTTGTGTAGACACAGGTCTAAGATGCAAACGATTTGGCGTTCGGAAATACGTTAGGTCAACAAAAAAACCGTGAACTTGTTATGTTTACTTGCAACGTTTCCAAAAACCTTAAGTAATCTTGCCTTCATGCAAAGGTGAATCGAAAAATCTCATAATGTTCTTAGAAGATTTGTTCTAGAAGATTAAGTCATGAGTCGATATCGAACTATAAATTTCGATAAGGACGCTGGTACTCACCCGAACGTTATGAAGAACGAGTTTCTCGAAGAGAGGTTTTAGCCTATAATACATAAACCAAATGTACTCATTTAAACCTCCTATTTGAAATGGCGTAAAGTAGTACTACAAGCCTCTTTACTGAATTGACTAAAGCCAAATCTGATGATACCTTATAACCTGTGGATCATTGCGTTATACACGTCGACACCAGTATTTCATACGATAAGTTAGTGAAAATCGTCGAAAGCACTTCAGCTAAGAAGCATAAAAAGCGAAATCTCTAAAAACTAACCAGAACGGTCGTGTGACATGAGTGTGGTGATACCAATGGCTGCATAGTCTGGCTTGAAACGCAAATAACGTTCTTCTGAAACAGAAGTTTTGAGAGATAGAGAAGAATAGGCGTACGATAATAAGGAAGACAAGTTATGATATGCTAAGTTTTCGGTCTAGTGATACTGCCCTTGGTCTCTTTCGTCATGATTCTAAATAATTCGGCCCCTACAATCTTACATTGTAATCCGCTGGATCCCTCGAATTATTTCGAAACAAATGAACAAAAAGATTTAGTTTCTACATCTTATGTGCAGCTTATGAAAAATAGAAGGTCATGTTTATCGAATTTGCCACCACAACTTTGATTATTTCTAAAAAAGTAGGTAATAAGATTATGCAAATATTTGGCAATTTGTGAATTTCTTAGAAGTAATTTGTCGCGGATACCGTGCAGTCAGTGATTCTGCGCTGATCGCTGCAATGAATGATCGGTATTGCTGTAGGTGTTTAGACGTCAACTATGACGCGTCAGCCAAACGCGTATCCGTAGCTCTTTTCGCGATCCATCTATAGTCGTCTGGTTATAGCGATAAGCGACGAACTGCAGCTTTAGGATAAGGCGCTTCAGTTGATGCTGTTACATTTGGATCCAGGCGTTCCTAGCGATATTTCGAATAGCGTCGCACGACTAGCGAACCATCGTGTCCTAAGTCTGTCAATTGGCCCGTTCGGCATGAAATCTAAACACTTCTAATCTTACTCATAACAATCGGCCATTGAAAGCGTTCATCTAAGAACGATAGTTGTTTGTTCTCGGAAAACATTGTAAGGTTAAACAGGATTTTTATACCTGAATGTCGGGTGCTAGTAGCGTCTAGGATTGTCGATGACTGTTTTCAGTCGAAGTCATAGGTAGACGTATCGATTTTGACGAGATTGGTGAATATCAGGTGTTCGAACGATGCTAGCAGTAACGGGATACAATCGATATATCCTGTAAGGTTCCGACCTTAGATAGGGCAGCATGTGGTACCCATATCAAAGAAAATATGCCTTACCTTGATCAAACGTTTATTTGAGAGGGTACAGGTTGCCATTGGAGAACAGTAAATATAGTCGCTAAATGAGTTGCCCGCATTGTTAAATGAATTTTTTGTCGCATTCGCAATCCGATGCGGCTTCTTTACTTCAGATGCCGCTGGTGGTGTCCTCTCATAAAAGACTGTTTGTGAAGGAAACAAAGTAGAGAACAGACTTCTTCGAAAACTGTCACCGGTTGCTACGCTTTCCTGCTTTGTGATGGCCTTGTGCTTCCCTATTTGACAAAGGAGGCAGAGTTCCTATGGATCGTCAAGCTGGTTAAGTAATTTTGACGCGATTTTAGACGTACAGATCATGCAACAGTACATTTCATCTATACGTACACGTTACATTATGCTTAGCATTCACCCCAGAAGGTACCTAAAGACGAGCTGATGAGTTAAGGGTTTAATCTTTTGCGGAACTCCTGAATGATGTTAAACTTATCCTGAACTATTGTTATTGTACACGGCCGTAATATTTTTCAATTTCGATTATGTACGGTTTACACGACATCTCATTCGCAGTGATTTTTGACACACAACGCAGGGATTCGAAAACACTTAGGTCCGTTACACAAGGTGTTCCGCCAAAGTGCTGTTTGGGACTTTTATACTGACTTATAATTAACTTGCCAAATAACTAATATTCGAAAAAGTTTCTAGTCCTCCGCAGAGTCCTACTCAACTAGAAAGAACAAATTAATTTCTCTTGGATAGTAATAGATTGTTTGGCCTAAAAATTATATAGTTACTGTAGAAGTTGACTATTTTTCTCATCAATTCACGATTGTCTTTAATACTAACTTGATTTGGCAGTATTGATTTTGGTGCCATACACATCACTACGAATATATGAATGCTCACCGAATTTACGATATGTGTTTGAAGACAATAGATTAATTATTAACTCTGCCATTTTGTTTTGTACGCACGCTACAAACTCGACCTCTGTATTTACTCTCAAGACGCGCCGAGCAAAAAGTATAAGCGAAATTAAACACTGAGTTGGGAATATACCGAATCTAAAACATCCCCATCAAGCGTCTATATAGAAATCGTTGCGTGATCTCACTTCGCTGTCGACCGGTGTGCACCAGGACTAGTTGTATTTCAATGGGCCAGACACGTACGGATCGTGGAAAAAGGAAGGAAGGAAGGAAGGAAGGTTTTTCCTTTTAACAGTCATTACTATTTTCTATGCGTTTAAGCATTCAAGTAAAGAACATGTTTTTTTAACTAGGCTGCCAAGGGTAGGAGAACTCGAGGGTGGCCTTATTGGACGAATGTCTGCTTGGTAAACGCCTGACCTTACGAACCTGGTAATTTAGCGATATACACCGGAAAGCTTTTGATGATGCGTTCAGAATATATTTTCGTTGCTAGGTCAAAGGCAAAACACTGTAGTTTTATGGTTACCTTTGACGACGAATAAGCGTTGACTAGGATTCGTAAATCCTCATAGTTATCGAGGGAAAATTGCGACAAAGTTATTACAACGATGCAACGATTCCAGCAGCTAATGACAAAGGACATCACTATCAGCACGATCGTTAGGTATACGGATATAATCTTCAAACGAATTCGTGCATGGCTAAAGTTTCTGAAAGCTTTAGAGGTGGTGCAGGGAAAAACGGTCTGTAAACGAACCATTCCGGGCATCTATTCATGTATGATGTATTGTGTTTCGTTTTTAGTTTTATAGTTGATGTTCTGGCTGAAGTTTGCCAGATGCACAACTATAAATTTCTAAGGATTATTTATATATTGTGTGTATTCCTTTTTTACCTCTCCTAGCTATTGTCTCTATATAAACAAGTCCTTAGAACCATTTCTTTTAGATACTGCATGAAGAACTTGTCCCCACAAAAAGTCTAACCAGGGGTGTGTAGTACTGACATTTCCACAGAAAAACTAAGGAGCGGTATACAAGTACGGTAACGATATTTTTTTTCTATTTCGTTGGCTTTTAATTTTTGGTGGTTAATTTTGCCGACGCTGCAATATGCTATCTGGTCACAGTTACTATGGCAACTTACTCAAAAATATGTGCATTAGCCACCCAGACCACGCCTTCGATTTGAAAAAAGTCATCAGACGTTTACCAACGCTTACAGTGACCATACATGGTTCGTGCCCAATCGCTCGAATCCCTCGAGTTGAAATTGGTAGCGTTTTATCAGGAAAAGCTAAGTTGTGTTGTTGATACAAATAATAGTAATGAACGTCAGCATTTATTTCCTAATGCGCAAAAATCGTACAGACGATGCCCAATTAAGGGGAATGGTAAACCTGTTTTAATTTAGAATTCTCTGTTGGAAATCTATTGATGATGAATATTTTAATGTAAACAGTATTTAATTAATCTAACATATTTGTTAATCGTTTCGATTGCAGCAAGCGTACAAAGCGGGCCGGGCCGGGGGCAACCGGGAGGCTAGGTGGGCAGAAGCCCCAGAGGCGACGGCACCGGATGCTTCCGGGAAACATCGTAATTGCCCCACCACGCAGTGCAACCGAGACATTTGCTTAACAACCATCATCACGCTGCCGCCGCGATGGTCAACGCCCTCGTGGCGTCCATTCTGTTCAGAATTGGACTGCCAGTTGTGGTACTTGGTGGTAAGAATCGCGCAAGCTTTATAGAAAGCATATATTTTTATTAACTAATAGATTAGGATGTAAAGGAATTATTCCAAAATGCTCTTTTCCTTCTCAAAGTCTTTACTAAATAGCGGATCCGAGGGTATGACCTACCACTATGTTTGAGCATACAATTGCTACATAGAATGATCTAATGTGTATTCATTAAACACAAACAAGAGCACTTAGATGCAACCGATGGGCATGTAAGGCTTGATACGTGAAATCGATTCCATTGTGGGTCCTTTTACCCATTAAAGCCGGCTAGTGACATAGTTTATAGTAAGCAATTAGTTATTAACTGGACAGTAAGGGAGATCTCCGGCAACAGAATTTCCGTTGTAACGTGGCGAGCAATGCTCAAATTCGGTTCATGGTGCTTTCATATCATCATTTGGCCTTAACGTTCCGTTCTCATGTTTTGACTGGTCCGTTCACGAGTGTGTCGTGAAGTCAATCCCCGTTCCTCTGCGTGCAGTTAGTTACTGGGGTGTGAATAGGTGGACTGAGGCGCGAGATCGTTTATTGGAACAGGCTGCTGTTTTGGCACGCACATCAAAAGCACATACAGATTTCCCTTCTTAAGCTTCTTGCTGAGAAATATCGTTGGACAAGGCAAGAGTGTTCTGATAAATCTGCTTTAGTGTAAGGAGGCTAGCCAGTGTTTAACTCTTTGATCGACATGGAATACACATGCATTCATTTTGTCGCTGGGCAGGCCTAATGCTAGTGGCTATTGGATCAGCATGGCTGACAGTCGCTTTTGTGCATATAGTTATGGCTAGAAGACCTAGACGACTTATGCATTGATATATGGCTAAAAGGCTTTGTTAGAGCAGACAGCGTTCGTCGCTGCAGTAGGACGGGAACTAGGCAAAGCAGACACAACGTGCCGACCTTATGGACGTCTGCATTAGTAATATATGCGGCTGTGTAGTATTTTCGCTTTTTTTCCCTAAGAAAGAAAGACAATATTTCCATTGCGTTCCTACCTGGGATGCGACGTTTAGTGGAAGACTTCGATGTTTGTCGGATCCAATTAAGGGAGCTATATAGACCCAATGAAAAACTCATACTTCCAACTGGGTTTATAAATGCTGTTAGCTGCGTACATTCGAACGATCATAAAAGAAACTGGGGTAAAATACAAATGTCCGTACGCATGAAAAATGTAATAAGGTATTTTAGGAGGCAGTCATCTCAATGAAAATATAGTTCCTTGAATGGTTGTTCCATGTGAGCAATTCGTATAGTATCTCTGTATCAGAGGTTTAATTACGACTATAGTTGTCTATGGTGAAAAAAAAATTACGTTTTTTTTTCAAGTTTTTTTTGTTGCCAAAGGGCAATTGCATCTATGTATACAGCAGTATAAAAGTATTATCGTTTTGAAGTAAATTAGCCGCAAAATAGAAAAAATAGACTGGGTGTGATTACATTTTGAGGCATTGCCCACTTGACGTCCTACTGCTCTATCTACTGATAATAAACAGAAAAGCCTATCTGGAGCAGCTGCACCGAGTGGTTGCCGTGAGACCAGTGACACAGTTTCTGACCTTTCTACAAGAACTTCGCTGATGTCTGTAGAGCAAAGAATAAGCTCAGGTAATAACAATCCCGTTGTCTGACCATCGCGAATCCGTCAAAACCTAGTATAAACTGAATCTTATATATTCAATTTATTTATTTAAGCGCTAATTAACGAACACGTAAGTTTAGTTATTAATAAAGTTCTATAATAACTATAGCCTTAAAGCATCGCTATTATCGTCTGCGTGTTGTCCAGCGAAACTACATGCAGTATGCTATATAATAGTAATTATATAAAATTGTCCCAGGTTATTTAGCGAAGCCTATTTGAAGTTTAGACCCAAAAAGGATTTAAATTTTGAAACGAACGAGTTGGAAAATTCTTAATAGCTGCAATTTTGATTACTTTTGTTATCGATTATTTTGCTTTCGGGTGATATATCGTGAGAGTAAACGTTCCAGGCTATTTGATGTCACTCGCCTTATGCTTCTCTATCTCGTCTATGGGCCGATTTAGGTCATAACGGGATTTTTGTTGCTAATAAAAACGCAAATACTTTTTACAAAAACCTTTTTTTTTTTTAACTTAGCTCGTGAAGAACCTGTTGTTTATGTTCGTGTGTTTCTTTCCGCGTTTTTGTTATGATTTCGCAACATGCACTTTCAAAGACCCCACGTTAAGTCGTCAAAGAGCGCATCATTCGTGCTCTTTTTCCTTCAAAAGCTTCCGTTATGACCGCAACTGGTCTTTCCATTTGAAGTCCTGGGGTTTAGTTCCATCGTCTGTGGTTCTCGAGCTCTCAAATTAGTCCTTAAAATGATTACACAGGTAATGTCTTTTCTGCCCATTGTCTTTACTAACATACGTGCGATACATACCACTGGCGTTTCATTTTCAAGAGTTGGATAGACATAATAATAACTGAAAGTTGATTCCCAGCACTAAGTGATATAATTCAGTGATAACACTCAATTAGCTTAGAACCGTGATAGACGGAAACTTAATTTAAATATTTACTAAATTATCAATGGCAAGTAGTTTGGAAGTCATTCAGCTTTCTCGACCGGTTAAATAACTCCGGAAATTCTAATAATAATACTTTATGCAAAAAGAAGCTTATTCCACCAATGAGCTATCCATGACTATGCCCTCAGCCTCTGTATCTCCATTAACCTTGAGGCTGCTCAATCCAAAAGTAAGATAAAAAAAAAACAGAGTCTCATTCGTCATTTCACTGCGAGCTTTCCGCTGTAAAGGCCGCGCCCATAGCCCTACCGCTGCTGTTGCTACTGTGTTGCTGGAGCTTGCCCCCCAAACTTCTCGTCGGCGGCGTGGGCGGAGGCAACCTTGGGGCCTCCGGACGATGCATCCTCAACCTCCTGTTTAGATGAGTATTCCTGAGGATCGTGCAGGGTCAGCAGGCCTCCTACGTTGAGCAAGTACGGATACTTAAAGAAGTGAGCCTACCGAGTATGGACTCGGACCAGCGTTGGCATAAGGCCGAATCTTTACCTAGAAGCATGGTCTAGCAGTACTAGCAAAAAGCAGCGGACCTTTATACAGCGGGTTTGCCAAGCAGCCGGCCAGCAGGGCCAAGTCTGCGATGGAGAAGGCATGTCAGTAGGTCATCAGCAAGCGTGCGTGGGTGGATGGGTAGGTACGACATTGAATTTGGAAAGGGTGTGCCACCCAGCGTGAGTATGTTGCCGTAAGGGCCAACCGTGGGCCTGCTGCCGTGCTTTACGGGCTACAGACTATGAACCTACTAATGTTGCTGACGAACGAAGAGGTAGCCGATAAGTCCCCGCTACTGCTGTTGCCGCAAGAAAAAGGAAAACGAAACACTGTAAGTCCTTGCACTGGGGCGACAACAAGGCTACCCCCTGAGGAAAGGACCTCAATAGCAGATATATATATAATACTAGGTTTGTTTTATGAGCGTTTTAGTATTCATCGAATAACTGAATGCTCAAGTTACGGCTGCAACTATGATGCCGTGCTGAAAAGCAACACTATATATATATATATATATATGACAAATTCATCTACTGGTTGGCTTTCGTCTTTGTAGGATTCGAATCAAAATTTGTCTTCTTTCTCATAAATATTCGTTAGGTCTACCTATTCCTGTTAGATAATAAGACAATAAACATGATAACTAACGGTTTATAGAAAAAAAAATATAGACAACTTTCTTTTAAAGGGATATTTAATTAAAATCGTCTCTGTATTGACAGCTGGATGAGGGATAGCAATTTTAGTGATACTAATATATTTGTTTTTTTTTTTCTATATTTCAGCGACATTATTTCGTTACAATGCGCTTTCATTCGCTTATTTAATTTTTCTACTTATATCGCCACTCCTTTCGGGACCTTCTAGAAATGCTCCACTTTCTCGTAAGTTGTTTTCTTATTTACATTGATTGATGTCAGCTTGAACAAAATCTATGTATGGCGCCAATATGCACGGATGTCATAACTTAAATAGTTGTCCATTCTGAACTGGGACGTAGATAAGCTGAAATTAGCTCGAACTCTCAGAATGGACAGTTAATCAAATACAATTCATGAACAAACTATTCTACCCAGTCTTCGGAGTTGTAGATGTAGCGAATAATCCCATATATATATATATATATATTTTTACGTGACTGGAATCCCCAATACGTAGATTACATTCTCTGCCTCGTACCATCTCCGCAGGCCGAACGAAATACTACCTGATAACACTGGTGAGCGTATCGTCTGTTTTCTGCGCGGCGCACATCGTCTACCAGGCGGTCCTCTTCTCAGTCAATTCCTATGATGACCCGCCACCTAGCGACTGTAAGTTTAACTATCCGAGACCAAGATCGTAGCAGTGAAATTTGCAAATTATTTTATATAATAAATCCGTCGTAGATTGATCAACGATAAATACACACTAGCAGTGAGAAGTCAATGAACGGTTCCTGCCTAGTTACGGATTCCGTACACCTGTCTACCCGTATGAAGCTAACTTCGACTATTTGTTTGCTTGTTGCTTTTGATTCAAGACGTTAGGATAAGGATCAGTGAAACGAAAGTTCAGTTATCCTATGAAAGTAACTTGCATATTACGGACGCGTCTGTTCGTTCGCGTCAGCTAGGTAATCAGAAATGTACTAGAGTTAGAAATGTAAACGTCAAATGGTGTGCATCTGGGCGAATAGCGCAAGGTTGAAGAGAGAAGTAAGATGACGCGCCGCTCTATGTGTTCATAGGGGGCAACGTCTGAATGATATCGAATAAATATTTTACGCATGTGCATACAATGACCACTGGCTGAAGACTGCTACATAGTTAATCCTCTTATACAAGACGTAGAACGGCGTGACAGAAAAGAAAAACAATGATTATATCCTACTAGGAACAATATCAGTCAGTTCGTTCATTAACAGTGTAGGCAATTGTGGTATGGCGCTACGTGCTTGGGAAACACGTAGAACAGAGGCAATGTATCTTCAAATTCGCGGCAGTCATGGACGCTTGAAATTTTTTTGGTACGTACCAAACTGACGAATAGAAATGTTTAGGTGGTAGGGAGCTAAGGGGAAGCTGACAGCCATTGACGAATATTAATTCAATGGAGGAGATCAACGCAACGTAGTGTTGTAGATAAACGTGGCCGCGTATTACTTTGCACTGCGGAAAAGAACGACCGTTTTAATCGTACCTATTACAGGACACTTTCGGTGTGTTAGGTCTTTATTCCTTTGTCGCATGTCCATTAGTGCCGTATCGCATTTCACCGGAAAGGTGACGCGTTTCGATGGGACGTCTGAGAGAAATGTACGACCTCCTTTGATATGGAAGGAGTTGTACTTTGAGTAGTGGGCCGCTCGAGGTTGGACAGAGACCGGCAAAATAAACACTGACGATGCTATTGGTACAAGCGAAAGTGCTAAATCGTTGCATTTATGATAATTTTCCAGTATTAATGTTTTTTAAGGCATGAAGGTGTCGAATTTATCGGTTCATTAATACTCGTTCTCTTCATGATTGTTTCATCTTCGTTTTAACATATGCAGCGAAGTTGTTTGCCTCAGGGCACTTAAGTTAAGTAAGAACGAAAGGAAAACACGGTGCAATGCCGAGTCACATTTAGAATGCAAATGACATTAGCGTCTTTACTGAACGAGTTGAACTTAAATTAAATAGATTAAAATACATTAATTGTTAGAGTTCCCACAAGCACCTCTATAAACTTTAGCTTAGAAGTTCTCAAAACTCGTTTTAAGGCAGTCGTGCGAGTGACTACGATGACAATATTAGTTACTCAGGCATTTTCACTACACTAATCATGACGCGTCAGAGTGTATACCTCTGTTGGGTTTAATAAATGTGTACTAAAACTCACTAGGCTTAAGCGGTACTCTAAAAACACGATATAGTTGAATATAGAAAAAAAAAAACTTGTAAAACCTATTGCTCCTTATGGCTGTAGTTAAGTTCCCAAAATATGGTAAGTTGCCAACGTACTGGACAGTAGGCCGATTCAATATATTTACGTTTCAAAGTTTCATCGTATGGAGAACCAGACGCAGGAAGGCGTATTGATATTCTCGTGCTCCTTAGCGCGGGCGCGTTTATTATCGTAAGAAAAAGTGTTTGTTTACGCTAGCTTCGGACGAGAGGCACAATTTGTAGGCATATATTTTTCTGCTTAGCAGGTAAATTAATATGTGATGTCAGTTTTCTCGACGTCGTGCTGCTTTTTATTACGTTTTGCATTAGATAAATAAATAATCGCTAACAGATGCCTTTATCCTACTAATGCTACATTATCAGCCACAGTGTGCTGCATTATGCAGCCGAAAGGATAACAGCAAGGCAAGCGAAAGACGACTACAATAGTCGGATTAGCAAGAAGTTTACGGCCAGGGGACGGAGGGACGGCGAAACCTCTCAGGTTCTGACTACAGACGAGAAACTAAGGACGAGAGGCAGTCGCCTGAATGATTACGAGTCGTCCGGCCACCAGACTGCCTCTGCGGTTGAAATTCAAACACCCTCTCGTTCCATACCTATCTTGGATTCAATCAAATTATTACTACTGAGTGGTAACGGGTGAAGAACTGGCCAAGGGGACAACAACGACAACGCTCTATCGCAGGCCAGTGTGACCGCTTTACTCGTAAATAGAACACCTGCTGAAACTGAAGAACATTTTGTGGGCCATACGCGAAATGGGTTAGGTCGATGATAGAATAGGACTCTGGGCAAGGTAAATAGACTTTGGGCTATTTATCTTGCCTATGGTCACGATTGGCACTGTCTTTCTTGTCCTCGTATTTGTTGTCCTAGAGCTACCGGTACTGTCGAAAACGTAAGTTGAAATGTATTTCAAGTCCGTTTATTTAAGTCAACACGCTAAGTCAAATTATAAATGGCAAATTCATCGAGTGAATAAGTACGGGGCATTGTGAAATCTATTAGAGTATGCAGTCTTTGCCCTTTTAGTGCAAAGCCATTTGGTTAGGTCGCTAGAGCGCTTGTATCGCTATGAGTGCAAACGCATAACGAAAGCCTTGAGTTATCCTATGATAATTCTGGCGATAACATAGATAAAAAGGGCAGTGATTGACGGTTGCAGAATCTAGGCTACAACGTAACCTATTATCAAAAAGGACTAGATTTTGGCCTTAGACAGGAAGCTAGCGTAAAACATAGAGATATGGATTTATGAAGAACAGTTCCTGAGACGATGCAATTATCCCAATGATGCATTTTTAGGACCATACATTCGTACAAGAGTCTCTGTCACACTAATAAACATACAAGAACAGCAAACTGTTCTTATGTTCCGTTTTGCTTATTTATTCATAAATAAATAAAATAGAAAATCGGGGTGGGCTGCGCTAAAGACATTTTGCAATCATTGTTACTATCTGAAAAGAAAATCACACACAACCAAGCTTTGTCATTCTTATGTGATAACATTATCATAACTTGTATGTGTATGGGTAATGGTCATGCAGTCTTGCAGAACACATGGGATATAATATGTAATGATCGGCTTATTAGGGCTAACCAAAATTTATTGTAAATAATGCAACGGCACAGCGTAAGGCAGCGCCACCTCAGTGGCTATCTGAGAGCGTTGCCTAATAGCGCGCTTTAAATGCGTAAGGAAGGAGACAAAGCATTGATATCTTTGTAATTTATTTGTATGTATAATACGTCAAAATGAATGATTGCAGAATGTTATACTGCCACATATTGGTTACTATTAGAACTTATGCAAGTTAAAATTATGATAGATTTCGCTTTCTCTATTATTCATATTAAACGGTTTGTTTTGTCCTTAGGATGATAAATTGCAACCCAGGCCAATTTGCAGTAACCCTTTCGTTGCCTTTCATGGCGTAACGGTAAAGCGGCGATGACTCTGACAAGTGAGGCTAACCCGCTGAAAACTTACTCAGATAAAAATACAAACAGTAATGCTCCAGTAGAGCCGGCTACCAGCTTTTAGTAAATAGATTTTGGAACGAATATCATGTGTGCGGTTAAACGCGATACGCAGTTTGTTTACGTCCTAAAAGCTAGATGCTGGATCAAAATAGAACAAAAGCTCCAGTATTAGTGGGCCCATGTTTTTATAACCCAGTATTGTCTTCGCCAAGTATCATTTTCGGCATCCGTCGCTGATCAACGGCAATACCAAACATTATCGAAGGGTATTTTAGACGTTGTTAAAGTACAGCAATTTGCTTTGGGTTACTGTATGATATAGTATAGGAAAATAGATAATAGTTTTCTCGCAATAGATAGATAATTTGAATAAATATCTTCTGACACGACTGTGAACACTCTCGAAAATCGGAGCGGTAAAATCGATGATAGGATAAAAAAAAATTAATCAGCTAAGGCTTTCTGTCGGCAACTGCCTATTCCTAATCACTTACTAAGTTGTGTGTACGCCTTGATGAGATCATAGAGAGTCGACTTTCAGTTGGATAAGTTGACCTTATGTAACTCAACGACGTTGATTCACTTTTCGTTTTGCTTTTAGGCGCATTGGAACAACGACTTCTGACATTGTTTGGTTTACATCGTCTCAATGGTATTTCGTTTATCGACTGCGTCCGCCTGGTGGCAGCCGATTTTTTCGTCTTCTTGTTCTCCATACTCGTTTACGTCATATGCGACAAACCTCAACCACAGGTCAGGATATAAACTAGTGGTATTTTAGCTTTCGTAATTGTGCCGCGTATGTCTTCCCGACGTTCGAATCTCACCAAATGTTTGGCTTTAGAATAAATATTTTTTTGTTAGCCATGTACCAATTATTGCATCTAAAGCCGAAGGGTTGCGCCCGTTCAACTGAGAATTAACATGCACGATACCTGCCAATGACTGCAGCGAACTACCAAGTCGAATACTTGCTTTAGGTAGAACCCTCGAGGTGTGGACGATACGCTCGTTATCTCTCTGTAATTTTCCTAATATCGTTACTACTTACGTTAAGTACTATCAGCTAAAATGTGCATTATTGTTTGTACCGAGATCGTAGAAGTACTAATTCTGGTAAATTTTCAAAATAGCAACGAGTTAGCTGCACTGTAGATAGAAATATCTATTTGTTATATTTGGGACCATCTATTTTTTTGAAATTTTTTTTGCAAACTCAATTTTTCAGCAGTAGATGCCCTAGTTTCACTTTTTCTTTCGCATGGATCCAATATCTCCATTAGCGTCTATAATCATTTTGTTTATTTTGCAGTATCTACAGGAGCGTAACAATGCGCATTCGCCCAATCAGAGTTCGACTAGACAAAACCGGTACTTTACCTCTTCGTTTCTATTCTACCTAGGAGAACTTGTTGTGTTGTTGACGATGGCGGCAGCCGGCATCCTGCACGCATCCTTGTTCTCGCTGGTCTACTTTATCGGTTCGTACGCAGTGCTATAAGGCAGCACGAAAGAAAAATATTGTCTTCCAACCCTCCCTAGAGATGACCTAACTTTGATGCGGCCAAAAATTCCAAAGGATTAACTTGCTGATTTTTACAAGCAGCATTTTGGCGACGCCGCCCTATTTTCGTTAGAAATTTTAGGGAATTGAGGAAAAACAGTCACCTTAGTATATCAGCTAACTGTTTCTAAAATAAATATTATATAAATGTTATAAAATAAGCTAATTTATTTGTCGAACGATTCGCGCAGCATTTCTCGGCGTGGCAACATGGCTGGGATGTTCGAAGACCCTTAAAGAAGGCTATCGTACACTACGAACGCTACTAGTATTATTTGCCGCATTTCACTATATCGCTTTGTACATCTACCAGCTAGACTACTCGCAAGAATTTATCGCGCCTGAAAGTTTGCATGCGAGGTACGTAAATTAATTCCACAGTTTCTAGTATAACTTGGTCAAACCTTACAAACTTATCTCTTTGGTTTACTGCTCAGTGATTGTGCTATCTTGTCGATTTATCGTAAAACACAGACATGCACGCATAGAAACGTTTGTCTTCAGTCAGAAAAGTTTACATACTGATTTTGTATTAAATCCAATAATTTATTTTCGTAATTTAAACGTATGCGCCTCTAATGCTTGATACACCGTTTGTTTTATTGTAGATTAGTTGGCTTCGTAGCTTTGCGCAAACCGGCGTGCAATTCATCTTCGGCTGACACAGTGGACAATCGAGACGTTCGAGACCTGTCGTTCAATGATAGCAACTGGACTCTGTTCGTGCACCCGCTCATAGTTCTTTGGTTCTACTTTTCAGCGTGCACCATGACCCGTCTAGGAAGACCTCATAGAACTCATGAGGCTGAGAATACAGCGAGCGGTGGCGGTGTTATGGGCGGACTACGAACAGCCGGCCGACGTTCACAATCCATTTTTCCCATAAGTTTAAGCGAGTCATCGAAGAGGGGCTCGCAACGAAGTCACTCTTCACCTCCCGTACGTAGGCGCAAGAGTGAACGACTCGATTCAAATGTAAGTACAACTTGTTGTCTGCTGACAGCGGGACTCTAGGGAGTTGTTCTATATGTGTGCACAACGGCGGTCCTTAGACTCAACGTATAGTCCCGAACCGTAAATAATTTCTCATGTACTATTGATCGTATCTACGTACTTACCTACGAAGTTCACTGAATGGAATAACGCTTGCAAATGATAGAAAACATAATACTCGTCTTAGTTCGATTTAAGTATCGACAGAGTCTTCGATACATGACGGATACGCGAATCTACGGATATTATAGGCTAAGTAAAGAAAGAGTATGCTTGTTTTTAGTTGGTCGAGAATGAACAAAGGAATTACGACAGCATGAGCCCGGCGCATCGGACGCTGGCGATTGAAAGCGGCGTTCCCACTACGAGTGCGATACCGGGGACTGCATTTTGGTATTCTGGGGGGCACGACGATGCCGTTCAGGATAACTCACACGCTTCGCAATTGCAGTCGCAACACAGTCGAACATGTAGCCAACGCTATGGCAAATGGAAACAACTGTACGCCTTTCTACAACATTTTGTCGGATTCCTGTTTAAAGGCAGCTACGTAATCACATTGATTATAATGATGGTAAGATGCTATTCTAATAACCGTTGGAACCTGACGCCAATCAATTCTACGAATTGCACAAATGGGTGATTCGAACCGAATACTTACTGACGAGCTACACGTGATACCAGACAGTACTCGGAGGATGAACTTAAAGTTATTCTGGTTTATCGTTGGCTACACTCGGCCTCAAGCTTATCCATTGCGCGGTTTACTCGTATCAATCACTGCTGCGCCATTTTTGGCGGGCTTTTTCTGCCACCGCTTGCAAAATAATGTCATAGTGAATGCACTCGCTGGAATACCCAAAGCATTATGGTTGTCGGGCAAATGGTTCAATAGATGCAGCATAAAGCCACGCCAAAATGGCTAGAGGAGTTTTATAAAATTGAAAACGATTGTTCATATATTTTTCTGTTACAGGCATGGAGTATCACATATCATAGCTGGCTGACATTTGTCCTTTTGTTGTGGTCGTGCCTTCTTTGGATGATGCCTAACTCACGGCAAGCGTGCTTACGGAACTCACCTGCTCTCGTCATCTACGCCGAAATCCTACTTCTATTCCAATTTATTTATTCGCTAAACCTCAATGATGAAGAACTACCGGTACACATTGGCAAAATTAACCTCAACCAGGTCGGCTTTGTCAAGCATGGATACAACAGTTATCGCGCGCTCGGTATTAAAATTCTCTATACAGTCGTATTTTGGCTAACGCTGCGCCAATATGTGGAGCACAAGAGGGCAATGGCCAAAAATAACCAAGATGACCAGCCGCATCTGTACGATCAACTTCCAGGACGGCACGGATCAACGTCGACAGCGTTGGCAGCTGGGCCTGCCAATCAAATCATCCGGCGCCTCGGCCAATTCTGTCGCAACTTGCTGGTTCGAGTCTGGATTTGGGTGGTGGCTGTAATGTTGTTCGTTATTTCCCTCGGTGGAGATCAGGTGGTGCTCTACCGAATCGTGTACATGGTTCTGTTCCTATTCTTCATACTCGTATATCAGGTAAATTAAGACAAGGTAGAAGAGTGGCTTGCACGTTCTGGTTGGAAAATACGAGGGCATGCTGTTTAGAATACCCTCGACGATACATTTAGTCCAACGTGGTACTTATAGGGGACAGCAATGATGTTGTGCTGCAGAGAAGTCAGTCAATTTATGAAAATTTTCGTACTTAAAGTAAGGGGGAACTGTTGTTCTGGTGCTGCTTCTTAACTACTTACCCCCCAAATTATGTAGTTAGGCTAAATATCGTGCTTTTATTAACCTAGATTCTAAAAAGTAGTTTCAATGTGTGGTAAAAGCGGGGTTTTTTGGCTAACGTTTTTTTCAAAAAATAAGGGGTAAGACTTGCACCGAGTTTCACCTCCACATGGGTTTTCAAATTGTTAGAAGTTGTTTAGTATTCATCGCTAATGCCCTATTGTTGTCCTTTATACAGCTCAGCACATTTAGCCTTTGGTCTATATAGATAGGTCCACTATTTCTACAGACAATACAATAAGAAAATGCATCGGGCTTCACCTAATAATAGTCAAACCAGGTTTTTTTTTTCGTTCAAAAATTTGAAGGATATTGAAAGCATATGAACTCCCTTTATAGCAATTATAAACAGTGGCTATTTCTGCAGCCTTTTCCCCGTGAAATTCAATTAAATTACAGAAAACTACGGCAAAAAACCTATATAACAGAGATAGTTCCTGTAACTATCAGTTTTCCTTGATTATCGTCACCATTTGTTTTACATGCACCGCTTATTACAATTTTACGATAGAAGAAGAAGAGCCTTGCTTATCGGTGTTTGTAGAAATATAACTGTATTTTATAAACGCACAAATTAAAAATTCAAAATTTGAAATTGTAAAGTGCTAAAGCTTTAGAAGTTTTTAAGCCTATAGGCCTCATTATCTATCGTTATTGCGAAAAAAAATCGGAATCCATTTTCGCTATTTTTATCTCCCATGCGCTAATGAATTTTCTAATAAGCGGGAGCAGCGAGGGGTTTGAATTCGAGTCTTAAATCTTTAATACCTAAAAGATACAGGTATGTGGTCAACGATGACTGATGCAGCCCCATGCCACGCTTGAGGTAGAAAGGCTTAATACAATCCAGTCTTTCGAGTTGCTTAGGAAAAGGATGTTCCTATGAAACATATAGCAATGAAATAGTAAGCAGGTGGGGCCACCGCTATCCTCAACAGGGCTAGCGCCTTTGATAAGGAGTCATGTGGTAACTCATATTCTCATGCAAGAAACTACCGCTCACTTTTCTCTACTCGTCATAAACTTTGCGACGGTCTAGCCGTTCAAAGACAAGGCCACACTCAAGCACTTTAAGGTGTTTACGTACTTCAAAATCATTCGTGTATGTGTAGTATATTGCACGTGACAAGGCAGCTTCATCTCTTCTGTCTTATCCACTCTTTTTGATTATCCAGTCAGCTTTAAGTCCGACCCCTACAAACGATGACAAGATAATCAGCATAAAGCAACATTTTCTCCTAGTCTGCCGAGCCTTAAATGGAACGAGAAATCATTCAGCTGCAGCGGGAACAGCAAAAAACTCAAATGATTCCGCTGCGTTACGCCAGTCGATTGAGCGAACGGTTTCAGCGGGGTTACTCCATGATCTATGCCCACTGAATCATCTTGTCGTTATTATTATTATACCGCAAGACAATTCAATGGGCCCTGATCAAAGGCAGTACGTTTTGTAGCTTCAAAGACAATAAGGCCCAGTCATCCCTTTTTTAGCTTATTTTTGTGCACGACATAAATTTAATTTTTCTGCTTAAGTTACGCCCTTAACGTGCGCGCATGTTGACGCGTGCATACCGGGTTTATATTTGAACGCTGGATATATTACATTATGCATACACAAAAAGAGACTTCATGAGGTACTGACGTCATGCCTTTGAATGTAAGATTTGTTTATCGCCCCACAGGTGTAACAAACAGTAGGTGAGCTTCTATGACTCACCTCTTTAAAATCGAGCTTTTTTATCGGTCGAAATTGTGTAAAAAACAGCTGTTACATAGACACCTGTTGAAAATAGCGAATAGCCGTATGAGAAAATCCGTTACATTACCAATGGTCTGCCCATAAATAATAAACATTTAAGTCGAAGACCCTTCTTAAACTCCGCCTGCTCCCCGTCAAGCCCCATGGACCGTGCGATTGACTGAAGCGTTTCTCTGCAGGTGTTGTTTTATCCGTGCTCGAATCTGCTATAGCGGATTTGAATATGGGCCATAACTTAAACACTGCTTACGACTGCACTCGGTATTGTGACGATGTTCAATATCGTTTTATTTAGCGTTGTAGTTTTTTCGAATAATTTTACCACGAATATCTTTAATACCGATTTAGTTCTGTGTAAGTATCAAAGTGTTTCCTTAAGCATTTGAAAATATCTTTGTGGAAATGATCGAATTGTGAAACAATGAATAATTTCTAGTGGGAATTCAAGTGAGCTAAAAATTTCGAGAATGGGGCAAGGTCATATATCAAAATGGTCAGTGGGCAGTGAGTTGTTCGTCTCTGGAATTGAAAAGCTTTTTTTGATCAGCCACGGCCCAGAGTTGGGTTTGGGTGTCAAATCATTAACTAAGAAGATGATGTATCACGTCGCTTTTAACGCATACGTTCAACGACAACGGGGGTATCATTCGTCAGAAGACGTTGAACCCTTGCTATTAACTTAGCATGACCTGGGTTGTGGTACAGATTTATTCTAACGTTCTAATCAAGACTGACAAATTTGTAGGAAATACTACGTTTAGTATATACATTTATATAACCAAGTCTTATATTTATATTGTGTTGCTTCAGTTTTCGTATCGGATTTGGATAAAGGTGATGTACGGCTTCCTATTGACCGTTATCATATACTCAATGATGGTACTGATTCTAATCTACACCTATCAATTCGAGAATTTCGCCGACTATTGGGAGACGTATCTACACGTTTCGAGAGCGATGCAGAAAGATATTGGACTGGAGCTCTACGATTCGGATCCTGGTTCACTTTTGCTCAAACTGTTGACACCTACAATATTTCTCATTGTAACAATCATTCAGCTACATTACTTTCACAAGGACTTTATCCGTCTCAACATGCAAGCGTGGGGTGATCGTGCACCGCACACAGAATCAACAGCTTCGAGTAGTAATGTTTCGCCTATCGATGAGCGAATACAGATTGAAGTGAGCTCGAATGCAGATAGTCCTCAACCGCCAACTCCCGATACGGTCATATCTAAGGATCGATTTGAAAAAGAGCGCGAAAACAGGAAACAAGAAAGACAAGGTAAATAAAATAAAAGCCTGTAACATCTCCGTGACGATCTTGGCCAAGGTCGACAGATGGATTAGGACTTTGGATGTCGCTTTGTAAGCTAAAAATTAGAATAGCCTTATTATAAGAAGGCTCAATCAGTAGGCTGAATAATAAATAGCATGATTTCATTGTCACAAATGGTATATCGTCGTACGTTTGCATTGTTTTAGTGCATCTTTTTAGTGAACTGTTGTTTCCGCCTACACTGGAAATAGCTTTTCAATCGCTCTTCGACACAGACGCATGTAATTAGTATATTGCAAAATGCTACATTATCAGCACATGCCTAACTAGTCGCGAATAAAAAAATGCCTCTGAAATGTATATAGAGTAGTCGGTCCAAATATAGTGACGCCTACATTCAAATATGCCCCCTATTATGCCAGTACAATCGATACGACTACTGCTGTGTCGTATGCGGTTTATATTCCGGTGTAAATGCTCAGTAGACTATGCGTAGTGGAAAAAAGAGCGGAAAATGTAGGTAGTTATTAGTTAATGATAACGCCTTGGGCTGACAGATAAACTGGCTGTGTGTGAATATGTTTGTTCGCAAAGTATATGAGCTTAGAAAATTAGTTTCTAACCGTAGAATCGGCCTCGTACACCCGTGCACTGGCATCTTGCGTTTACCGTAGCAGCTATAGAAGCCGGAACTCGAATACAATCGATGAGAGAGCGTCGTCCGTCCACAGACGTTCAACTAACTGCGAAACTCAAGCTGGAGAAAATCAAGGCCTACCTCAGTGAGTTGGAACGCGTGGTCTGGCGTTTGCTGGAGATTCACATGGCCAAACTGATGTTTCTTGCTGTATTCCTGCTCTGCGTCTACGATGTATGCGCTATGCACGTTTTATACATGGGGCTCATTGTAATTGCTCTGCCACTGCGGAGTCTGCACCAGTTTATGGTACACTGTTGCGCACTGTGGACCGCAGTGCTTCTAGTATCGAAAATGATCTACCAACTGAAGTTTGTCGACAGCATGGGATGGGAGACGACGTGCAAATCAGTCTACGGCTTAAATACAACCGGTCCATTTCCATATCCTTTCAACAAGACTATTGACAACAGGTAAGATGATTCACTACTGATACTCAATGTATTAGTGAGTCGTGTGCGACTTCTTGTACACGCTTTCTGTCCTCGTAATAATTTCATACGCTCGCAGGTTCCTCCATTTTTATACAGATTATTTCTCTTTACGATGCAGGGAGTGGATCGGCTTTATGAAGACATCACACTTAACGGACTATTGTAAAGGCTATATTGCGTTGATTACAATGTTCACCCTTAACGCAATGGTGAAGACCCATCAGTACTTCGACCGCCACCAGCGGGGTCTGCCCGATCTACCGACGGGCGTCGTATGGCCAGATGTTACCCGTCGCATGGCCGACCGCGACTTCTTCGGCTGTGTCAAGTTCCTCATCAATTATGCTTTTTTCAAATTTGGTGTCGAGATGTGTCTTGTAACAATGGTGGCCTGTATTGGGATCCGCTTGGACGTCTACGCATTGCTGACGGCGTTCTGGTTGTGCTGCATGTTTCTTCTGCGACGGCACACATTGGCCCGACTATGGCCGTTTTATATCATCTACCTGTGCATCGTAATCCCATTGCAGTATCTTGTTTCAGTAGGACTCCCTCCAGGACTTTGCATAGGTAAATGGCTAGACCTCTAGGAGAAGTTGTTGAAGTGGTCGGACCAAGGGAACTTGCTAGGTAATTGCCTATGGGTTTCGTTAGGGAAAATATAAACTATCACGATGTCAATTACAAGATTGGTCGTTTCGCAGACTCGTATGAATGGCCCGGAAACAGACAGGATAAAGCCTAACAGAAATGTGTAGTAAACGTGCGAGCTGTTTGCGTGCATTTGTCTTTGTGATGCTGTATTGCAGAATATCCATGGTACAGTGAGAATGACAAAATTAAAGAAGCCGTTGAATGGCTTTTCCTACCGGACTATCGGAACCGAGTGGCGCATCGAAAAATTCTTGGTGGGTTGGCTAGAATCATGAATGGGCATGTTTAATAGCCAAACAACATTTGGCACGAGCATACAATTAGATTTTCATATACTACTAATGGTTTGCATCCCTTGGTCAAGATGAGTACGTCTAATATACGTATGAATTACTCGTTTTTTGCAGTGGACTGCTTCCAGTTGATTCTGTCGTGCTCACAGCTTGTCGTATTTAACATCGAAGCAACAGAGGGAACTTCATATCCCGCTGGTAGTAATAGAGAAATATACGATCCTCGTGGCCAGTTCATTGGTGAGAAGCCCAACCCCATCCCATGTTTCATCGGTGACAAAGCCTACTTCAATCGGGTAAAAACGGGCGTGTTCTTCCTATTCTATTGGGTCACGCTGGCTGTCATGTATCTGGCTGGCACCAATCGTATTTCACTATTCGCACTGTTCTACATACTCGCATGCTTTTTCTTCCTCTGGAACGGCAACGAATTCTATCTGAAGCCGATAAAAACGCTGTTGAGTTGGTGGAACTCGCTTCTTACGTTCAACGTGGCTATTATACTTTTGAAGTGCATCCTTCAGGTTAGTTTTGAGTTCTCTTGCGAACTTGCCTACTTTGAGCGAGGATTACATTCGGAAGGAAGTTGCAAGGTGCCAAATAGTTATTTTAAGTATTAAACTTTTTAAAAAAGTATTAAACTATTAAAGAAGTAGAAGTCAACAGCAATAGGACACGATTAATAAGCTAATTTTTCTTGTAAATTGCCATGCGTTCTTAACGGACGCAGGAAATGAGAGTCGTTTAACCGTCTATACGTTCAGATAACGTACAAATGACTTTCGTTTTAGGTGCTCGGATGCGTATATTCACAAGATCTGGCATATCATACCTGCTGGCTCGTACAACTGCTTGGCATTGCTTGCCTGAAAAAACTTGGTCCAAAACAAGTAATTAAAATTCCGGTAAGTTGTTGATTGGATTTGTTATGTGTGATACTAAAAAACATAATTGTCAAATTGGTCTTGTCCACGTAAATTACCTCCACTGTAAAGCAAGTAAACCTGCTCATATTTCGGTCGTGCGCGTGCGTAGGTGTCGCCTGAGAAATGTCTCGCTCCAACGACCGAAGCGGGTTTACTGTGGGACGGCATCTGTTTTGGATTCCTCCTACTGCAAAAACGCCTATTTACGTCGTATTACTTCCACCATTTGATCATTGAGATTCTGGCTCAACAAGAACTCAGTTCAAGGGGAGCCGAAGTAATTCACTTTCTGCGAATGGAAAAGGTCAAGCAACAACGTGAAGGTGAACGTGAGATAATGGAGAAAATTCGAATGAAAATGGATCGCATTCGAGAAAACCAGAGGAAACAGCGCGAAGGTGAATATGTCGAGCCGGAAACCCACTATCAAGGTATGTGTAATCATCGGCGATACGCCCCCGTTTTTTCTCGGCATTTTCAGCGGCCGAAGATGCAATAAGGCACTGACAACGATAGGCTCGAGGAGATTCCAGAAAAAGTTACGATTCCGGAAAAGATTCCAGAAAAGAATACGACTTTTATACAAATAAACCTGTATGTCTGCGTTTGTGTGTATTGCCAACGAGCGGCAGTACTAACGATCACGAGTATCAATCAAAACGATGCGGTACATACAATTACCTAACACGATTTGCCAATAATTGTGTGCCGCGGCGAAATTTCACAATGTTAGCATAGCGTTGTTGCTAGATTTACTTTCACTGTTTGATTTTTAATAATAATCATTATTATAATTATCTTAAAAATTAGAAAGAAAAATATTATTAACATTGCAGTGTGGCACAGAAAAGCGGAATTCAATAACACGAAGCATTTATCTGCTTACGTATAGATAACATACTTTCTGGGCGGGAAAATTTAGCTTGCTAATTCTCTTCTCAGATAGGTGGAAATCAGAAGATGTTCGAGATAGCGCACGTAGCTTCATATCATTTATGGTGGCGTAGTTCGCTGAGTCTCTGGATAAGAATCTTCATTAATGCTACTTTTGGCCGGACTGAGGCGTTTAGCTATCTCGCTAATAATGTCCGACTTTCCGTAGATCCGATAAACTGGCGAAAAAGCTATTGTTAGCGATCCGGTTTAACTGAGACCAGATAACTATTATTGCAAGCGGGGAATCCGAAAACGGGACTGCTACCTGCACGCTCTGATTATCAATGTAAAGAAACGTCATTATTTCAACTGTTCTGTGGAATGGTATCAAGAACCGCGATAGTACCGAACGAAGCATAACGCATGTCTGCAATTTTAGCAAATTTTTTATATTGTTTAACGCGTTTGTGTGATCCTATCTACGATTCCTAATATACCTCTAGATTAATATGATATCAATGATGATGACGACGGCGACGACGACGATGATGATAACCACGCTTTCGAATCGTCTCCTTTTGGAATTGCTCTATATAAAAACTGGTCGCGCCGCCTATACAGAGGATTACGCGTCCTATTCAACGCCAGAGAGAAGCGAGTCATCATTTTGGTCTTCATCTTCCCCACCTCCGCCATCGCCGACGACGATTTTGACGATGTCCCCGGTGAGCGCTGGTTGGACCGCTTACCTGGATTCCTACTGCGACCCTCTGCAAGGCCATATGATTGAGACTGCATCGCAGATCCTACGGCGGGGCAGCACCGCCACATTCGCCCTCAGCTCACATACCACCTGTAAGATTGAGGGCAGATGTGCCAGTAAACGTAACGGCTGAACGTGATCTTACCGGAAAGAAGCCATTGCGCCTCTAATTAAATCTCTTCAATTTTCATTTTCCGCCCAATCATATGCCAGCATCTTGGAACGCAGTGTCGGCTGTATGCTATGTGCCATGAATTTTGCTATTGCTATCATTATAAACAACTGTTTTTGCAAGATGGAAACGTGGATTAAATAACGCGAGCTTATTGGACTCCTGCAAAAGGCTTATAAAGCGGAACTCGTGATTTCAACTATGAGGAATTCTATGCCTCGGTACCATGGATGATGCTTTACCTGTCGATGCGTCACGCCTACTATTAGCTTAAACGATAAATAGCAACTGGACGAGAAATATACTCGTTTTGTTAAAAGTCAATATGCCTGAAAAGAGCATAAAAGTAAGGTTAGGATTAAGATCTTAACATTGGTCCTTATAAAATTTCATAAATAGATATTATGCACAGTAGTGTGTATGATGCCACACAATCATAACGTTACCATTGATTTTTATCAGATAAGCAAACGTTTAAGACTCGAGTGTGTGCAACACCGTGTGAAAACACTGCTCCGAGCTGTAGGACTTAGCCACTTACACTTACATACCCTAATTTCAGCTTAGTGAACCGCTGGTGATCAAACAATACCTATTATTAAGACGTAAACAGAATTGCGTGCTTGCACGGGTAGAATTGTGTAGGAAAAAAGACAGATCTCTGTGTGCCTTTTATAACCAGCTATAAACTATATATTCGGTATCGTTGACGCCCTTACCTAATAATCGAGTATTTTTTGAAGATGTTGCCGGAAACTATTAGAACAGCACTGATAAAGGTAGTTTTATTAAACCATTAGAAGCACATATATAGGTATCCAGTTGATAAAATGAAGTGGCACTTTATTGATGTGAACTAAGTGTTTGCACATTGCCTAAATGTTTGTCATCCCATATATTTGTCTCCGGCATGCCTATAAAGATACCTTTTATAGGATTTTCCCCTACGGATTTATACATGAGTAGTTTCCAGGAATTATATCATGTACAAAAACGGTTAGTAGCCAACAGGATATTATAAAGCCACCGACATAATTTATTCGAATGAGAAACAATTAAGTTTACCTGTTCAAGCTATGTTTGGTGTCGAGTAACGTGTCGAGAGCATCTGTTCTATGTGTTGTATGCCATCGGTATAAACTGCTACGAAAGCATTGCACGTTACGAAATGATCTGTACGCGCCTGAATGATATAAATTTTTGATAAAATCGGTACTGTTTGAATCTGAAAGATGTGTGCTTGATTTCGCACAGCCATCCGATCGGGAGACTATTACCTGTTCGACGACGGCGACCAACTCGAGGAACCGCTTGATCTTGCAGTCCGTACATCAAGGGAAGAATCGAGCGACGATTTTGATGTCAAAACGAAGGTTGGCTATACTTCAACCTCACTAGTCTTTATTTACGGGATGAGCGAGCCATTTTTAGATGAGTTGTTAGCTTTGGCTCTCATAATTTCAATGCTTACGTTAATAGGTAAATTTCGTAGTGATAACGTTGTGTGCAATGATTTTACAGGGTCTGAACGCTGTGCTGTCAAATATCATGAAAGGACAGTCCGCAACGATGGTTAGAACTAAAGCCCGCACTGAAACCGGCGAGGAGATAGGAGACTCGTCAGGAATGAGTGCCATTATCTCTATTGATCGCTCCGTGCGATCCGCTAGCCACTCACAGGCATCAACTGCCGTAGTAAGTCACTTGTGGACAAAGTACTTTAATGGGGAACTTGTATTTGATCATCAAACGTACTACATAACTATATTCAGGTAAATGTGTGATTATCAATAGCGAAGAACTTAGTCTCGCTGAAGGCCTCGAGTGGTTGATTCAGTAGAGTTGTTTTTTTACAGCGATGGCAGGTTGCGGGGGGATCGCGTTTATTGGACCCTGTACAGGTACAATATATTGTCGATGAGTGTGTCAAAAAATAACGTGTAGAAAGCATCGGCGAATGTAGGTGTGCTAAAGGCTACTAACTATTGCGACTTGACGACAAGCTTGGGGGGTTATATTGACCAGTCAGCAAGTAGTTTTATAGCAAATGTTTACCCACTATGTTTTTGTGAATTACCAGAGATATCGAATTCATAGAGAAGGTAACGTCATGCATGGTGAAGCTAAATATATTGCTACATACGAAATGTATGTACAGACGACCAAGTCCAAGCAAAGGTTTGGTTGACCGGCAGCATGTACAACGCAGTGCGAAATAAGTTTATAGAGAAAGTTTTTGCGTTAGATTCACATGAAAGGTTCTTTAGAAGGTAGGTCGTCTAGGTTAATTTATCATGTTGTTAACTTTGCTCCTTGGAAACTGATTTATTGGATCACAGCCTTCACGACAAGTAGGCGACGACACGGTAAAAATGAGAAAAACAGTCAGAACAGAAGCAGATGCTTTGCGTAATATTTACACAACATCTAACGCCTAATAGATCACTTCGATTTGGACTAAAAAAACATTTGGCTGAAAAAGTCGCCTAAGAAAGGGAATGCTCGTTGGTTTTTTTTATTAACTGTTTATACGTATTATATTGAAAATAGCCATCGACTGTGATCTCGCGACCAACGGCATCGACGCCGTCGATTCAGCGGGCCGCTGTTCAGCTCCCGCGTGGACAGCGACATACGACAGAGAGTGGAACAAGTGGCCTATCTCCAGCATCCTCAATGGCCGCAGCCGTACTGGCAGATAGCGAGATAGCCGGTGCTGAAGCACAGGAGGAACCCATATGTACGTAGCAGCGTGTAAGCTGGTCATATACACTTAGGTAATACACAAAAACGCAATCGAGAGACACAAAGAAACACATTTGGCTTTTTTATGTACCTATTCTTGTTACACATTTCTGAGTAAGTATATAGGTGCGAAAACCCAGTTACTACTGTAGATAGCTAAGTCCCATTGCTTCATATATCTGTCTTAGGGTCGTCATCTCATCACAACATTTTAAACATTGCATTCAATGTCCTGCGCAGATCGAGGTCTCGTGTGGTCAGTGTGGATAGTTACGACCGATTTTCTTGTTTTGGATACAAACACCATCTTGATTTACAGTGACGTGGCAAGAGAAGTTGGCGAAGTATCTCGCAATTGCTAACACTCTCGTATCTAGTATGTTGGTGAGCGCTACCGCAAAGCTCCACTCATTCTCCGGAGGCTATCGAGAGGTTGCCAAACTTCTGGACAAAGACAAAGAGCTAGTTAAGCAGCGTTATCCCGATGGGCTGGCGATATTAACCGAAGAATATCAAAACCGGTCTGCTCGGGTACCTGTTTACAAAATATCCAACAGCGAGGGACTTGCGCAGGTGGGTGCGAAAGGCCGCTTAGAAATGCGAATACTGCTGCTTCTCTATTGGTAATCGATACATCGTTGTGTTTCTTGAGTAATAAATGGAAGTTTCCTAGACTACCTCATTAGCATCATTTAAAAGATCACTTTTTTCTAATTGGAAAAATTTGCTTTTTTACTAGGAGAGGCTAAGGCTTTGAGAGACCTCTTCCTTTTGCCTAAATTCACCTAGTATTGTTAACTTCCCAGATTTATCGAATACTATGTAATAGACACAAGCCTGTATAACTTTGTTTTGTAGTCTTCAGATATATTCTTATATTTTTTCAATGTCAAATGAAAAGACAGGGCTAGATCTTATGTACTGTTTGTTAGACGAATTGTTATTAGACTGTACTGGGTTGCAAGATCATGCTTTCAAATACTTATTAGTATTGGTAAAAGCGACACAACCTATTTCGTGGGCTTGTGCGTGCAGGAGTGTGCATGAGCAAAACTAATACTTCCGTTTTGCATGGTGCGGTGCTTACCTTGGACACGTTATGTGGATTATGTCCAACAGGAACTCCTACAGATTAAGAACGACCTAAGCGAAGACGCATTATCCGGTAACACCGACAAGCGCGAACCACTTCTAGCACAGTTCTTCACTGCACTTGTGTACGCTTTCTATGCGCGAACTGAGATCGTGTGTTACCTCGGTATCGTCTACAATCAGATTAGCACAGCGACATTGTTATCTCTTCCATTGCCATTCATGGTTTTCCTCTGGGGCTCGTTGTCAGTTCCGCGTCCATCAAAAACCTTCTGGATCACAATCATCACGTATACAGAAGCAATTGTTGTTGTCAAATACCTGTTCCAATTCGACTTCTTCAAGTGGGACTCAGGATCGTTACGAGGCACTACGTTTGATCCGCCGAAAATGCTCGGCATAGAAAAACGCAGTGGAGATTCGAATTACGCGCTTTACGACCTTATGCTACTCTTCCTCGTATTTTTGCATCGATTCGTGCTCAAAGTAAGCTCGTTTTATATAATTTCTCAACTGAACGTATAAAAAATAGTGTTTTTCTTTTATTCAACTAGTTTGCTTCGCGTAGTTTGCTGTAGTCGAAGTTAACGAGCTGATTTGATAGTTCTTATCATAGACGTTATCTCTCGTCCATAGAACTTTATTAGTGTTTACGCCCGCGTTATTTTGAATTTTGAAGACTATCCAAAAAAAACTTGTTTTCTCGTGATTTGTTTCTATTTTTGCTATCTGGGAAAATCTTGAACAGAGCCTAGGTCTTTGGAAGGACACGGATCGAAGCTTCGTCGATGATACCGACGATTCAGGGTCATCCTCCGATCGCCTTCAAGTTACTGGAAAAGACGTGAGTGACAAAAACACGAAAAGGGAGGATAAAAAGGAGTTGAAAAAAGATAACGGTAAAGACAAACACGGCATCATCAAAACAGTTGCGCTTCATGGCGGAACTGTTGTCGATGGCGGTTTTCTGAATCATCACATCTTGTCCGAAAACGATGATTGTATGGACGAAGAGGACGACGACGAAGCCATCGATATAAAGGTCAGCTCTTTCCTTCAAGGGTGAGTAAAATAAAAGCCAATCTGAAAAGACGCTAGTAGTTTATATGTAAAAAGTTTTAAGCAACACATCAAGTATTCGAAGTATCTATCAATTTTAACTAGTTTAAAATACTACTATATTATCCTATATTTAACTTACGCTGCATACACATGGTGATGATCGTAATTAAGAGCAGAGCGTTTATTAGAAAACACTGGGTTTGTTAGGTTTTTGTTGTCTAATTATAAGCCACCTAGCTGAAATAATAATGGATGTTAGTTATTAATGATAAAATGGGATCAATCTATGGATATATCAGCATTGTAATTATTTTCGTTCTAGAAGTCAGAAGTAACTACAATAAATTTTATTAATTGTCTCCAGTATGCACTACTACCTGGCCCCATTTAAGTCGTTCTTCACCAATCTGCTTCACCCACCCTATCAGGTAAGAACGGTTATTTCAAGCTGGCTATTCACTCATTTCCAAATGCGGCTTTAGACTCGAATAATGAGTTCGGTAGGGTACGTGCGTCCCAAGCAAAAAAACGCTGCAAAAATAAAGCTGTGATGTCATAGTTCAACTTGAATTACTCCCTCGCACTTCAGTGGACTGAATTGGCTACCAGTAACGTTTACGCCAGCTAGAATAACCCACAGAATCCAGGGTGGGGGCAGGGGTCTGTCTGACAACAAGATTTCTCGTAGCTGCTCAACAGCTAGGTCACAGTGTTTGCATAGATTTTCCTGAAAAACCTCCAATCACAAATTCATAAGTATGTATCAAGCATGACATACCTCCTTTTGCTGCTTATATCAGCGCGCTTGATTTAGGCACACATACATAAGTAATCACTAGCAGTACTTTCTACCGATCATCTATTAAACGATATTATAAATATATGTAAAATAGGTGGCAACGGACGTCTACGCGTGGATGTTCTTCTGTGACTTTTTCAATTTTTTTGTAATGGTGTTTGGCTACTGGGCGTTCGGCACCGGCGGTAACGAAGAGGGGGTTACGGCCTACTTTGAGAAAAACGAAGTTCCTATCCCTTTCCTTATCATGCTGCTGGCCCAATTCGGCCTTATCGTTATCGACCGGGCCCTTTACCTCAGGAAGTACATCCTTGGTACGTATTTATAATAAAACAACTATTATAAAATAATTACAGACTGCATTAGCATGTGACGCAAATGATAAATACATCAAATTTTGCCGTCATTTTTTTTGCTTGATATTGGCCGAAGCACTATTAACATTCCTATCACATAGGAGCCTTCTTCTTTTATTTCCATTTACAGGAAAACTAATTTTCCAACAAGCGATCGTCGTACTGATTCACATCTGGATGTTTTTCGCTTTGCCAGCCATTAGCCAGAAGAGCTTCTCGGAGACGGTTCCTCCGAAACTGTGGTATTTCACCAAATGTGTCTACTTTCTTCTTTCAGCTTATCAGATTCGTTGCGGCTATCCGACACGCATTCTGGGCAACTTCTTTACTAAAAAGTACAACTACCTCAACTACTTTCTATTTAAGGGTTACATGATGGTACCCTTTCTCTACGAACTACGTAGCTTGATGGACTGGATATGGACCGACACGAGTATGGTCCTGGTAAATTGGCTCAAGATGGAGGACATATTTGCCAGCATATTCATGTTGAAGTGCCAGCGTCGTGCCGAAGAAGAATACCCGACGCCTCGAGGCGCGAAGCGGTCTTCGCTCATCAAGTACGGTATGGGTGGAACCCTATTATTCCTGATCATCCTTATAATATGGTTCCCGTTGTTGCTCTTCTCCCTTGGAAATACTGTGGGCCACTCGCTGCCACCGGACGAGTGTCAGATACAGCTCAGTATCGGCGGGTACGAGCCGCTCTTCTCGATATCGGCACAAAAGAACAACATACAGAAAATTTCTAGCGGCGACTTTGAGGAGTTATACCGAAGATACAAGGACTATAGTCGTGCCTTGAATTTCCTTGCTAATTACGACCAGAGCGATGTTGTGATAGCGATGCTCGACGGCAACTCCGCCGCCGTTTGGAGCATATCGCCACCGTCGAGAGAGGCGCTCCGTAAAGATCTACTTAATGAAACCACCCCACTTGAACTTAAGGTCAAGCTGACTTTCTACAGGGAGAAGAACGATTCGGATGCTGACCCGGTGAGTCTTTCATGCATGTGTACAGCCGTATCTAACACCTACCTATTGAGTCATGACGTTCGTAACCATACGTCGTATATACACGTACGTATGGCGCATATAAAAAAAAAGGTAAGGCGAAAGCAAGCTCGCAGTTAACGGAGACAACTCCACAGATATCTATTACAGAAAGAAAAGTGCCTCATTGCTCAAGTTGGCCCTTCTTCTATTGTAAATCCACTTTTTTTTTCCTAATTATATACCTAAATCGTACACCATTAGAAGCCAATTTTTACACAGTAGGAGCTCATCCTCGGTGTCGTTGCCGATGATCCGCACAGTTTTAACACATGTCCCACATGTCATTTATACTACATTAGGGATCTCGACTAATCTCGAACTAATATCATTGCTTATATTGTTTATATAGCGTCATCTGATCATTGTATATAAATAGTTGGTCGGCGGATCGGCAACTGAGGGCATTGTAGTCCTGTGACGACCTGTACTAACATAGGCTATTTCTATCGACGCTCGATTCTTTGTCTGTTAATTTTCTCGATCTAAAACGATTCACAGAGGTCATCTCGTCAGCAAGTAGAACTATACTATTGTATTTTAGCCGCTTCATTTGGTAGCTCTCTATGAGCTGTACTAGTTGCATGTAGTATAATGTTTAATACTAGTTAGAGTGATAAACTCCAATTAGCGTTGAACGAGAATCGGACCTGCTTAACATGTAGACTACAAATTATAAACGATAGACATCTCGTAACAGGTCACTGTCCTTATTATTGAATGATGGCCTATTTCTGTTATTCATTTTATCTTAAAACAGACGTATAAAATTTGAACAAAATCCTTTAGCATGACCAAATTTCTCTCTAGCTGCTGTTTTGCTAACGCGATCCGTTTGTTCGTTATCCCAAAATGACTTAATACTACCGGTATTTCAATGTGGAACATATTTTATTTGATTACAGGGCAAAAAGTCTAAAGAAAAGCCGTTTCATCTGGTAAATTTTAAACTATTTCCATTGACAACTGCATGTTTGCCTGCATGCCATAGGTACACCATTTAAATAATAGGCTAACCTTACTTGATGATTTGTCATGCTCGGTTCAGCTTGTAAGCAGTGTTTTTTAAATCGCTTAATTTGTTCTATTTTAATATTGCATTGAATTTATCAGTAATGCGATCATATTCTTTAATAAGTTACCATTTCGCAGATTATGCTGCTGTGATAGCGGAATGACGTAATCAGAGTCCATAAACTGCCCCCCAACCAACCCCGGACAGAGGCTACTAACCTAAAACCCAATGCTTTGCTATTGAGATACAGACTGTTCTATTAAGCGATCTTTCTGTTTTTAGTATACGATATTCGTTACAATGCAATCAAGTTGAACGTGCGTTTATCGTGCACATTATGCGTACGGTTACAACGTCCGCAAAGTTCCAAGAACCTTGTATACTCTGGCTGTCACAAATAAACACAGCTTTTGCGTCTTCTGTTGAGTGAATATCTGTTTGCTTCCCTATTTAGGTTAGGTTTCTGTCCGTACAGCAGCCTACAAGATACGCAACGCTCACAAGACTATGGGCCAAGCAGAGTTCAAGCCAATATATAGACTGGCTTGACCTTTATTAATCGCGTACTTAGGTTGAATTTAGGCTGAGATTGAACCCTGTGTGCGCTTCGTGTCACTTGATAGCGATGTAGTTCATTTGTACTATTGAAAGCGGGGCTCGTGAAAAGTGGTCATCAAATTTATTTTTTAATTGTTGTATTTTTTTTTGTGACGCATTACCGCCATCAGACAACGACACTTGAGGACAGCAAGGAATTTGCAGACCAAAAGGCGCGAGAGCAGATGGCAAATATGTTGTCTAGAAGTGCGAACAGACATAGCGTAAACAACACTGGTGATGATAAATTCGCCATTTTGCCGCCTCTGTTACCGAAATTCATACACGTGCCTCGAAAGGGTTCGGCAAAGAGGGTCACCTATTTTGAAAGTGATCCCGATTCAAGTGAGTGTAATCTAATTAGGATGTCTTAGACGAGCAAGTTAACCAGTCGAATATCTACTACTAATTACAGTACGATTTTTCCTAATTATAACAGGAAATTAATGTACATATTATTTGCGCAATATTTAATGATCTGTTAAAGTGTCCGTATAGACAGATATAGTGATAATGAAAACTATGGTTTGCCTGCCATAATCGTAGCTCTATGCAAAAGATAAGCGACGCAATCCTGATCGTTCTGCTTGTTGGCTTACTTGCAGAGGCGTTGCGTAACCTGCAAGTGGAGTTGTTGTGGAGCAAATCGAACGAAACTGCGCAGGGTGAGTGGTGGGAGGTTCGCGCTTTTCCCTGCTCAAAGGATGATCCGTACCCCTTCATATCGAACCTCGACGTCTGCGCCTACCTGACTGTAGTCATTTTCGCAGATAAAGTCTTCCCACAGGCGCTGTCTACTATCTCATCTTATGGGTACGAAAACACTTTGCCCCTTAGTCGCGTGAGCGACTCCGTAGTGGTACAATTTTAGTTACACCGCTGACAGTGGTTTTCTTAGTAACGTCAGGTGAATTAATCGATGGCAGACTCCAAGCTAAAACCTGTTTATATGCGTATTATGTAAATTGTAGAATTGTCGGCTTGTATACGACATTCGTCCTGCTCGTGTCCCGTTTCCTGCGCGGCTTTATTGCCAATACTTCGACGAGAATCATGTTCGATGACATGCCGAACGTCGATCGCATTCTTCAGCTCTGCATGGATATCTATCTCGTACGAGAATCGAAGGAGTTGGCACTCGAGGAAGATTTGTTCGCCAAACTCGTTTTCCTCTACAGATCGCCTGAGACACTAATAAAGTGGACTCGAATGGTGCCTCCTCAGCCACCAGCGGCCATCGAACAATCTAATCAGAGTCGCAGGGATCAAGGCCCGGGTAGGGATCAGCCGGGACAGAGCGGCGCTACGATGGGAACTGTACTCACCCAGCGGAGACCGCAGCAGGCTCAGTAGCAGCAGTTGTACTGTCCGCCGCCGCCGCTGTCGACAATTAACTAGATAGTTGATCTATCATTATTTTAATAGTAATTAGTACTCTTCTCGTTACTAACAATTAATGGGCATTAATCGTATGTAGGGTAGTTATTACCATCGTAGTTCAAGCGACAACAAAATTTGTTTTGGGGCGCGGCAGTACCCGTGAAGGGCGATCAATGGCAACAACTGAGAAAAGATCTAGGAGACCACTTATACTAGTAGAAAAATGGCAAGGGGAAACAGTTCATTTTGCCAAATCACACTTTATAAAGACTGGGTAGCTAGTTAACTAGACATTATTACTACTGTCATTACGTAGCTATTAGACAAGTTATTCACCATATTGAGTAGAGCGAATATTACTCGATAGGCGCGGTAACTTAAAAGTTATTTAGATATCTCTTTTGTATAATTTCTTGTACAAGGTATAGCCGATGCAGCGTAAACGACAAACGACCGCAAAAAACCATAGGGTGGACAAAGGGTACCGTGCAATCTAGCAAACGAGAGCTTTCGTCATTAACATTATATATATATATATATATATATATATATATATATATATATATATATAAAACCATGTAATAAGCTAAACTCAATGTATGATAGGCGATAAATAGAAGCAATTGTATCATGAGTAGAGGAATCGCCAGTTTGGATTAATAAAAATGCAGCGTCAGTGACCAAGAACACCTAGATGACGAAAGCGCATCGAAAACACCATTGGAAATACAGATAATTCAAATTAATGGAACCTTTTTCTGCTCTGCACGATGACTTAATTACAGCAAACAGGGATAGTAACATAACGTTTATTTGATTCTGCATTGCTAGGCGACTATTGTGCTATAAAGAAGAAAAATTCTTAATTATAAATATTATCAGTAGTCATGATTATGATCTAATCAACGCTTCTTTGTTATCTATTCGATGAATTATGTGTGAAACATTTATACGAAATGTATATCGTGAACAATTATAGATCAATCCTTTCATATCTGTGGAAAATAGGTGTGGACGAGGTGCTCCTTACCTAGTCAGTAATCAGTTGACCTACCTACCTACCTACCTACCTACAATTGCTCCCCTCTGACCCTCCTACATGATCAACGTAGCATTATCTATAACGCAATGATCGTGTACAGTAGAATGATAGCAAGCCACTATACTATTTTACGTATGAATTATACTCAATGTTTATCTTATTATAGTATAATATAATAATGAGGATGATTGTTACTACCAAGTTATGCAGTGTCTGCATGTGTAAATTATTGAAACGACATTGAATCGAGATCAGTACAGGCTGTCCTGTCCTTTTCACAATTCTCGTATCGATCAATACGATAAGTTAACACAATGTAAGCTTGCCGGTAAGTTGAAATTGACAAAGGGGTTGATGCGAGTTAAAAGATCTAGCTTATGGCGTATGACATTTCAGTAGGGCTCGGCATGAGTGCAACGCAATGATTACGAGGACATAGCATATATATATATATATATATATATAGCATATATAATGATAATATTAAGCCAGTATGGAGAGAACGATGCTTGTTTGATAAGAGGCACGTGCAAACACACACATACAAATAGGTACGATTTGCCGCAACCTACGGTGACAATGGATATTGAATAATGACGAAATTAGAAACAGTCAACACGAACTTACATTGCGAAACGGAATATATGGCTAGTTAACAAACTGCAGAGATGTGAGTATGGCTCATTAGTTCTGCGCAACGAATACGAAGAATGCATATAACTGTTACGAAACTACCGACAGCAGGCGGCTTCGTATGTAACCATTCGAATGGTTATTATTTGCAAGTATGACGATAATAGGCAGAAAGGGAGAGCGTAACTGCGCAGCAGCCGCAACAACAACAACAGCAGCAGCAGCAGCAGCAGCAGCGCCAGCAGCAGCAGCAGCAGTAACAACAACAATATTATGTGTATAAAATATATCTAAAGATTCGAATGCAAAAGCTGATGTATCATGAATGATTATTACTATATAGGAAGAAGTGTTTATTTCAAATAAATGCTTATTTTTAACGAATCGATACAGCGGGATATTTTCTGTTTTCGAAGTTCGCTAAGTTTTCATTGGTCCAGTCGACGTCAATGTACAGCACCAGAACGCAAAACTGCTAAAGAAGCAAAGTGGGCGTCTGCTCACTGCGAAATAGATGACAACGAGACAACTCTTAAGCCATTTTGTAGCATTTAAGTGACATATTTCGCAATAATAATCCAGTAGATGACGTGGCTGAGCGCGTGCAGTCGGCTAATTAGATAGCGCTCGCCAACGCAGATTGCACGGATCTCTCAGACATGTAGCGCACGTGTCGAAAGGAAGATCTGTATAACTATAATAAAGTCTCTCTAATCACAACTAGCTCATTCAATCTTCATTGGGAAACACCCGGCTACAGGTGCAGGTGTTGCAGTGGACGATAACTCCATATTAATGAATTCGAATCAAAAATACACCGAAGCTTTTTGTATATATGAGTAAATAATGGCAAAGTATCGATGAAGGTAACATTTATTGTAAGACGTCGTTGTCCGACAAGTACACTTGTAATTAGCATAGTATGACGTTTTTTCGGCGCTTTTGTGCTGAAATATTACTATATAAAGAAGATTATCGGATGATTCTAGCTGCTGCCACGGATGAAAAGCAATCACGCCGTCACGTCACATTTGTCACGAAAACAACGTACGGTTAAGTTAATGTAAGGCCAGCAAACTTCATGATTCCTGCGAGATCGCTACCGCAAAATGTATAGGTGCACTTCAATTATGCATCGAAAAAGTGCGTTACTATGCGCAGCCATTGGGAAAAACTGCAAATTATACAGGCAGGTTATTTTCCTAGGACAGCCACTGCGTCAAGAGGGTTTCGTCTGTCCAGTTCTGCGCTCCTACGCCAAGCGGCGACAATTGTAAGGGCGGTGGCAAAAAGGACCGCCAACGCCATAACTGAACCCACGAAACGAAACCTAAAAAGCGGCGAAGTGAACGAAGCGTCGGCCATCTGATTCGGGGTACAATGAACTATAGCTCGAAGAGGGGCTGAGTTAGTCTCACCGACTGAGTTACGAACTAAGCATGAGTATGTGCCTTCGTGATGGGGCTGTAATGGCGGGCCAATCCGTAGAAGGGAAGATGTCCTAAAAATTTAACAGAAAATAAATACTATTTAGGAACAGGTGTGTGGCATATGTTTCAATGTGTGGGTGAGTATGCTCATATACGTCGAATTATGTTTCTCATATTTAGTGCAGATCCTCATATATTCTCAATTCCATACATACAGTCTCAATTGTACGTGATCTAGATAGTTTCATTAACCAATTAACGTAGATATGAAACAAGTTCTATTGTCGTTAGATGTTAGTTTCAGTTAGTTGTATGCTGGGCCGTGTTTACGATACGTTCAAGCGACCGATGTAAAATGTCCTTCTCCTTTTTGACTTTCCACGGTTTGTCTATCCCTAAGTGCCTTTTGAAAGGGCCCTTTTTCCGCTATGTCTTTTATAATTTTATAGTATGCTAAACTGCGTCCTGAGTTCAGACTTTAAGGATGGATGTTTTAGGTTGAAAAAGACACGTTCGAAACCTACTCTATTCTGCTTGTTGCTGAAGCTAAAGGGAAACCGAAGAAAGGACGCCTTACTTGAAATATTTATGCCGTATACAGCAAAAACGCTATGCAACTGAACATAAAATCTTCTAAAGTAGTTTGCTAATCTCAGAAATGCCTTTTTGGAATTAGAGGATTCCCATTGCTCCGGTGGGTATTTGAGATCGACGAGGACCTTCTATGGCAAACAGTTAATTATTTGATAAAAGTGATAGGCTATGAACAGTCGGTTACCGTCAGCCACTCTTGAATTTATATCATTTTATCAAAAATTAAAGGTTTAGATGCCCTTGAACTGAACTAAGCTTTCAGGGAAACACGACTGATCATACGCTTCTAGCACTAACGGATTACTACACGAGATCCGGATGTAGTGTTTTTAGGTCAATATGAAGCGAAGAAATAAACCCAAATCCCGTGTTAAAGCAGACCTCCAACTAAAAAGGTTAGCGTTTGCGTTTGATAGAACCGGATGAACCTTATGTACCGCAAAGTGCTTGAAAAAAACGGTTGGCAAAGGTCGTGCGGAGTAAATAAGGCTAACAAATAAAGACAAAAAAAGACCCGACCGCAAAGTTAGCAACGATAGGTTGCACATGACAGAGGCCTTTAAAGTTCCCCCACATAGGTTCAACTGAAAATTCTTTTACACCACTTATATTAACCAGGGCTCACGTGCACGAGTTATCACCTTTCCAAACAATATCCAGAGATTTGAATAACAAGCTAGAAGAGTCCTTTAGGACGTGCAAATCTGTAACAAGTTGGAATAGATAAACTAACGTGGAGATGGGACACGGTAGTAAAGCATGACAGTGAACCCGTAACAAGACATCAGTTCGGTACTACAATTCGAGAGAGGGTCTGTGTTTTTAATTTGGTGAAAATTGACCGACTAATATAATAAGTAATATAATATAATAAATAAGTACTGACCCTACTTGGGCCTTTTAGGTTACCATAAAATCCGACAGCCAATCAGCCAATACGTAGTGTCTGACAAAGACCTACATCAGCAAAATAATGAAATTGAGTATAACTCAAAAAGCAAATCTAGACTTACGAATTCAACTCAATGAGATTTCCGTTGTGCGACCAACGGATAGAGTTAGGCGAAGGATTGGCCAAGATGGAACAGCAAAGGCACAGCTCTTTTTCGGTTGCGAAAATGAAGCCTGCAGGGCTTCCAGTGGAGACACGAAATTCACTAGGCAACGGCTGTTGTGTTTCTCTTCGTGAGCATGGATACAAGTCCACAACCGGGGCGTCTATAAGAAAATAGATCAATCTATGTTCGATCTAAGAAAATTAAGTCATCGTAGACGTTTCTCGCACCAAATATTATAACTTCTAGTTCGAAGACATGAATCGCTCAAAACGAATCGAACTCTGTACTTACAGTGTACCACAAGGTTCCAGGACTCTTCGAGAATATCATTTGGAAAAGCCGCGTTCGTAGCACGGCAAGTGATGGTCAGACCGTGATGCTCAGGATGAGCCTTAAACGCTAGTGAGCTCGTGGTGACATTACCGTTGAACGACGTATGCGTGAATGATGCAGCCGCACGTTTTCTGCCTAGAAACCAAGTGATCTCTGGTGCGGGTCGAGAACCGCTAACTACACACTCAAGCTCCGATGTTTCCCAAGCGTACAACACCTAAAACGAGAAGGGCAACTGATTTAGGAAGAATATTAATATAGCTGAAAGTTGGCAAGATTTACAAGAGCGCATTACGGCAATGGCTGGATGACAACGGATCCGCCTGTGACATTGTCAGGTTTTCCTAGCAGTCCAATAAGGCATTCTATTTACTTGCCATAAATAATGGAACGGCGGAGAAATGATATAAATATGTCCGCCAGAAATAATCCTTTCAAGAATTAAGTGTCTACTGTGTTATGATAAAGTTAGCATCTGACAAAGAAAACGTAAGAGTTCAAACAGCTAATCTGGATTGAAATGCCGCTAACTTTTTGAGCTTCAAGACGAAGGCTAAATTTTTAAACTACTTTTTTTCCTTTTCTTCGTGAGCCGAAATATACGATAGATGACTCCGGAAACCGCATCGGAAGCAAATGTATTCTGGCTGATTTTTTTAATGGCTTGTACATACAGTTGATTCTTCAACTCACCCGATTACTCGACGTGGTAATTTCGAGCGGCCGAAAATATATATTTAGTTTAATAAAAATAGACTGCCTTTGTTCGCCGGTACGTTTATCTTCTGCTCGACAGGACAGTCGTACGCCCTCATGCAGTCGTCCCAGGCTCTCAATACGCAGATGATTTTGACCTACAAAATATAAACGTGGCATTGGCATTTACTACACTTTTGATCAGATCGAACTCTTTTTGTTTTTATGAACCTAGATAATATCATTATTTGGTCAGAAAATGATGGATTTGTCAAAATCCCAATCTGCGTATTTATCCTCGAAAGCGATCTTAGTACAATGTCAGAAGTCATAAATTGAATTCTAGTACAGAATAATTACAAAGTGTATACAACTAACAACAGACTGGGCTAATTAGAAGTTTGTCGTTGAACGGTAAACTTTGCCTGGGCTAATTCTATACCTCAACTGCGATGTATAACAAGCGAAGAATATAACGGCTGCAATATCACAACGTTAAAGCTGCATCACTTAAACGATATATTTCTGTGATCTTTTGACCTTTCGTATATAACAGTAGCTCAGACTGACAGAATTTCGTCGACTGCAAGTATCAAGGGAGCTCAAATGTTTCCTGAAAGCTGTTGAAAACCATAGCTATCGACATATACTCACTACGCATTTATATAAGCCGGAATCATTTACAATTAGTCCGAGACGACTCTTCTCGTTACTATAAATTAGGCAAAATTTAGAAAAAGTTGAAAAATTGATGCGTAGAAAACTCAACTGTCCATGCCGCTACTGTAATCTTACCTATTTCAGGCATAGTAAGAGAGGACCTTTGAAGGTCGTCATTGACTGTATACCACATAACTTCGGCCTGTGGGAAAGCTACGAGTTGAGAAAACGCAAGTTAAATAGTTGTGACTAACTTCGAGGTCGACATTAATTTAAACAACACCGTAAATACAGTTCATATGACAACTACTGCAGGATCTGCTAGCATTGAGTATAATTAATCATCGTACACGAACGAAGGAAGTTTGACCGCAAAGCTCGGAAAAAAACTATAGCATTTGCAAGTCTATAGCTACTTATATTAAACCTGATTATCTATTACTATTTACCTATATTAATAGGAATTTTTCAACTAGAATAGAAATGTGGCGACGTTCTGTCATGTGACTGACTACAATATCTTATTATAAAAACGTCTCCTGTTTTAATTACAAAAGACAGTCGAAATAATGTAGGGAAATAAATGGCCATCATCGTAAACATGTGACAGGCCGCAGGTCAAGTTAAAGGGAACAACCGAATTGAAAAATGTACAAATAGAAAACTTCAATGAATAATTGCTTATTAAAAACTCGGCTATCTTTGTTGATGAGCAATAGAAGCTTTCATCGGTAAGATGTTTGCACGTTATCTTCATAGGCGCCAGCTACCCTTTGCAAATATAGTTTACTCTTTGTGTAAAATACACAACGCAGTTTATAGAAAGACCTTTTTGATCGCGGTTAGGTCTTTACAAACAAAAAACGTTTGTTATCTCCTATACGACCTGCAATTAGAAAGTAAATTACACAAGAAATACACTAGAAGCAATTTTTTTTTGTTTGAATGAAGAAACTTCTGCTGTCAGCGCAGCTTCCTACAAGACGACACGTCAACATGTTTATGGTTTGTTAGTTCTACGGAGTTATCAAGATTATTGCGGTAGATTTATCATAGTGACTGGCGTACTTTACAAGCATTAAAGATTCTAATACGTTAACTACTTTGTGTTTTTTGCACGACATAGAAACAAAAAGTTTACGGAAGTTTCCTTCGTGTCTAGTTCTATCTGACCCATTCATATTGTCTAAACATAGGGTCCGCTTGAATGTATTGCGCAGAAGTAAAGACAGCGGGAAACGTGACATTTGGGTCAGTAGCTATAATTAGCCCTAATAGCTAATAAACAATGTTGAAAAACCTTTTCATTCTATAGGCGCTGGTGGTGGTGGTGGTGTGAGTAAAAGTGTCATATTAAATTTATTCTGTTAAAGCTTTATTTACGTCAGATATGTTAGCTATTTATGTATATAGATGACCTCTAGTACGTGGACACTGAGATAAGACATTACGGTACGCAAAAGCGCACTTACTATGTTTGTGTGAGAATACCTACTAGGACGGACCTACCGGGATCTGCAGTGCAATATAAGTCAAGGCTTTGTCCTTCATGAAATGGTCCCACATTCGGTGTGCTAGAATTTATCGCTCCTCGGAATGTAGGTGACTCCACCTGTAGATCAGGATCCCTCATAGGACCTACGATCATCATCGGTTAATTATTAATTTTGCCATTTGCTAGTATGTCTTACGTCAGACCTTGGAGTAAAGTTAATTAGGGTAAGCCTTGACTTTACTTTAATGTTGCGGACATTACCTAACGCAGTTTTAAGATAAAGCTCACTTTGATTGAACTGAACATACCCCTGACATAGAATGTTTCGTTTGCAGAATCTCCACCATCTAGTCCAAGTACTCGACACGTGTAACGACCAGCATCCTGTGGGGTTAGCCGAGTTAAATGTAACGAAACAGTCTTTGGATTAAACAACGCTCGACCGCCCCACGTCGCCGACGGTGAATGTGAAAGCAAGTGGATCCCATTACGCTGTGCCTGTTATTCAATTGTAGGGGCATTTTATTAACTTTGTTGGATGCACTCAAACTTGTTCATACATGTGATGATACGCTTGCCCCGTATCAGAGTAGTATCGTTTGTGGGTGTTCGGGCCTTGACAGCGTTCAAGGCCCTTCAAAGGTTCTTTTTGTTGGTGCACACACAATCATCATACACTCCACTTCAAAGGTTTGACTCTTTGCTGGCCAATATTTATTATCAGGTCACTGCGCAAGCGCAGTTGACTAGCATTACACGTCCGACCTGAAGTATATCGAAGTTAGCTCTCCTTGAAGCACGGGCCAAATTGCTGTTGAGGAAAGTTGTTGCCGAGAGATTTTAGCCCTTGAAAAAGTACTCACTTTCGGCACACCTTATACGACCCCCGACGAGGTTTGCTTCGCTCAAATTATCTAATAGATTTGCCCACACAAAAGTTCTCTAAACTCGTTTCAATTTTTCTTAACAACCTAGTACTATCATTTATCCTTATATCTATTTAAAAATCGTATTGAGCTTTTATGTCGCTTATCTGAGAGTTTGTCACTATTTGTGGGTTAAACTAGGATGGTTTTAAATCTGCGACACGCTCTGCTGTCGAATTTAGCCTAAATTTTTCTTAGACGAGCTCTCATATATTAGCATAAATAAGCTTGTAAATTGTATATATTAGTAAGTCATTAATTTACAGATAGAACAAATGTCACATATTGCCCTGCAACGACAACTTCCTTAAAGAGGTAGTAATTATTTAGCCTACGTTGAAGCTGTTCCATTTGCATTAAATACTGGGCGTGGAATATTACGCACGATCTACAAGTCTTAAATCTGCTTATTAACTGAAAGTGACGCAAACAACTTTGAGGTAGTTTTTGGCACTTGTAGGCATTATTAAGTTTTCAGTCGTGGACGAAATTAACTTAGTGCACGTTTAGGCCCACAAGCCAGGATCAAGCATGAGTAAAACAAAACTCTAGTGCTTAACCTACATACTGATAACGTACAAGCGTGTAGCAGAATCAACGTTGTCGATCTACAGTTCCGCTATCATAAACTTTACATACCTGTATTATAGAAACGTAGATAAGTTCATCTTCATGGTACCACTCGACCTGTCTCGGTTGAGTAATCATCTCCAGGGCCGCACAGCGAAGCACGCTTTTACCGCCAAAGTAGAGATCATCGTTGGTCAAGGCTCTTAGAAATGCCGGTAACGATACACTCATTAGGAAAAATATTGAAGCCATACCACAATAATTCGTTTACAATATCTAACTTACGATACGATTACACCTTTTGAACCTACGGAATTCGTAAGGGCCTGGTGTGGTACACAATCAGTGAGTTTTGTATGAACGACTTTTGTGCACAGTCAACAACTTGTTAAGCATCTCCGTGATACTCGCAGAGCACAAATTGTCGCATTGGACTTCGCCCAGGTCCCAAGTGAGGGTACGCCTAGTGACTTCTCTAACTGCTGCCGCTGCTATTGTCAAGCCAATCGGCGTGCTCGTCGCGTCGACTTAATGTCGGCTGCGGTTGTCGGGGTTTTAGCTCGGCTACTTGCCACGTGCGGGAAAGTGACTGCCGGCGGTGAGAAATTGCGCAGGATGAGTTGATGTCAAGAACAGGGCCAGAGTCAGACGCCGGTTTAACTAACCAGACCATGCGGTTTCAATACGACGCATCAACGGAAGCTGGAAGTTCTCGCCGAGTCCTACAAAGTCGGATTAGAAACAACCCCTTTATTCAACGTCGTATAGGGGGCGCTGTTGCTGGACGTGCTTGCCGAACGGCCGGAAATCCTCTGACTAAACGTGCTTTTGGAGGGAGGGCTTATGTTGAGGGCGTTGAGTAGACGCATATTCACCTATCCCGAATATATGTACGGACTATCTAATACTTCTTTAAATCGAAACACGCATAAAACAGATAACAGCATTGAATGCGTTACTTAACTTCTAAGTTTAAAAAGTTTGCTTTGATATATTATTAACGACACGCACATCAACGCATCCATAACTTCCGGCCTTGTCGGCAATATTGCATGCCTAAGGCTATTTGAATCAGTATGCAGATTGGGGGCAAGATGTAGGCGTGCTGCCTCATAACATCGCTCTGATGAACACAATCATATGCTCTAGTCGACGAAATGGGCTCATAGCGTCGTGCTTAGAGACTGCCGAAGGGAGCGACTACGAATTATGAAGGATAGAGAAAAAGAGAGCGGGATGCTGAAAGGCGTTGAGATGAGGAAAGGGGTGGATATGAATTCGGTCCAATATCCTCTCCAGACTCTCAATTGTGGCGTGCTCCTTAATGAGCCTAACCATTTCCCACCTGCGCGTTTCGAGTACTCTAACTCTCTAAAACCGCATTCTTAGTTTCTTTCTCTATGAACAAATAGCTAGGGATACTTGCAAGTCTAGCTAGAAAATCAGCTTGGCCAACACAAGTTAACAGTTTCGGCGTACCGAGCGAACGGTAATGCTAATGCACAAAAGAAAGTTAGTTGTAACTTTACAATAGACACTTTTCACAGATTACTAAGGATTCTCATTGTTAAATATGTCTTCAGGCATATTCTGAAAGCTATTAACAGCTGTCGGTGAAAAATGCCTGCTGATAATAACGGGAGAGTTTTTGGTTACGATTAAGGACGCGGTAACCAAATGGACAACCACGAGCGAAACAAGGTAGAAATACTATTGTTCCATTTATCAGCTGGGTGTTTTTTTTCTTGAGCATTGATCGTCTTCGAAATATCGTTGAATTTTTTGATTTTGCATGCTTAGACCATGCCCGTCTATCTATTCCGTTTTTTTTTTTTTTTTTTTTTATTTACAAGTTTGCAGGGAAGTGGGCTCTTATGAACCGATTAAACCTAATAGTACGAACTACCTTGCGTCGGTTCATCCAGCCTTCAGATAAATAGAAATAAGCAGGAGCCTGATCGACACAATGCGAAAAGTTTTCGTTCGACTTTCAAATTTATGTCAACTTCGAAAACGCATGACAATTTGCGATTTATTAACTCTAGGTGATCATGCATTTTAATAAAGTGCAAACCGAGAACCTAAAAGAGCTTTGCACGGACCTATTCATCTAGCTTGAAGCTAAACTAAAGTCAATTGTATACTAAACCAGTGTAACCTACTTCTCCTTTTGAATAATTTTCACAATTCAGGAAGGAACTCGAATAAGTAATTTTCCGCCTTGCAATTCACGCCTATTTCATTGTTATCTCTACAGTTACAGCTTTTCAAAGTGATACAGCGCGAAATTAACATATTGTCACCATTTTTTGAAAAGCTCGCTTAATCGATGGGTATATGCGTTTTATTACATGTTAGTTTGGCAATATTTCGTTTATGATATGGAACTGGCGCGTACCGACATCTGGATTCTAGCATTGTTTAGTCCCAGAATCAGCTCAACTTCCATTCTACCGTCCCACCACCCCACCGGTGAGTGCAGCCGCCCGTTGCTTACATCAGAATAATTAAACGTAAATCTCACTAGTCAGTTTCGCGGTGGTGTATGTCGACGCAGCCGCTGGCAACATAATACAGCCTGCTTTCCCTATTTGCACACGACCTGGCGCCATTCCCAAGCAACAGCGCCCCCTCCCAGATCCGCTTCTTTTCCCGTTAGCTCTGATATTCCTCGGTGCTTCTTAATAGTCGCCAACGGTTCTCCGACGCTTCAACTTTCGGCCTCGCATTCGCCGCTACGGTTGTCCCCCCGTTACCTTCTCTCCCAGGGATGTTCTGCGATCCTCGTGTAGCTGCAGCATTACCAGTCGGTGTCGGCGATGGTCAGCAGTTCGCAACACGCATTGCTCGACACCGCGACCGCTGCTTTCCCCTTTCTATCCGTCTGTTGAAACCAGGCAGACCCTGTACAAGATATCGCAGTGCCCCACCAGGATCTACGGTATTTTTCAGTATTTTTGGGGTCTTGACCGAAGTTTTATTGTGACACCGTTCCAGTTTTTGAAGATTCACGTGCTGGTCCTGTCGCGTTAAACAAGAACGTGTCTCGGCGTCTTTTCGTTCCGTTGTTGCCGTTGTCGTACTGTCAGTGACAGTAGCCCAGTGAGAGGCAGCTGCAATGATGGTAGCGCCCTAGACTTAAGACCGGATCATGGTAGCAACAGAACACACATACGCAAATACCTAGAGGCGACCTGCTGTCAAGCCGGCCCGCTGCTATTGCTTCTGCAGCAAGAACGACAGTTCACAAACAACAGTGCTAGTATAATTCTCGTCGTCGGGACCGCCGACGGTAACAGCAAACGCACGGGCAATAGCGACAAAACGCAGATCAGGCTGCAATCTGCAGCGGTGCTATTTTGTGGTAAGTGGAACCGCCGCTTCATCCAACATCATCCACTTGCCTTCGTTGCTAAGTCTGGCTAGGAGACAACGTTGTAGGCGGCAAGCCGCTGTTCAAGCCGTTCGACGTTCCAAAAAACGCGTCACGTGTGATTGTCAGTGAAGGCCCGCGCGACCTATAGGCGCTGACCTATTATTCTCGTGACACGTGCAGTTATCTAGCTTGTACTAGCGATGCCTGATACCGATTTTAGCGCAAATGAGCCGGTGAGACGTTTCGGTGAATTTATTTGATATATTGGTAGCAAACTGTTAATAATAACACTGATAGTTTGCCCGCTTGGCGGTCATCTGAGTGTACAGTTGAGAAGGTGTATAACGAATTGTACCGTTGATTCGAAAAGGAGTAACGCTGTGCATGTGAGTGTGACAGCGGCATAGACTACTTATTATTGATGGTTTAAAGGAGGCAGAGAAACTTGGACTCATCATTCAGGCCTACGTCACACATCTAGGAATAGAGTACTATAGGACCTTTGTCCAATTGATTGTGTTGTTATATTTTGCGGAAAGGATTTTTTATATTAAGGGATGAACTAAACGCAGCCCTGTCTTCCAAGGTAAGCATTAGTTATGCTAAAGTGAAGTGAACTTCTACTAGATAATTCTATTTGCAACTATCTAAAAAGGTTCAGTATTGGCATTGTTTATCACATTAGCAATACAGGTTAGAGTACTCCAAGGGTACAACTGTCTGATAGCATTTAGTATCGGGCATTTGCAATAGACTCTGCTTGCCTAAACAGCAATAATATTTATATTTGGTTCAAAAAACAGGACATTGGCCGTTGCTAAAATATAAGATCAAAGTCAGACTTATACATTTCAATCATAAAGGAGATTATATTACCCCAAGAAAGCTTCATGCTACTAATAGAAATTCACTGCGCATAACTGACCATAGGAATGAACAGCGCCGTTCAGGTGTTAATGTGACGTCTAGAACTCGCTATAACAACAACTATTTTGGATTTCAACGCCAAGACGTATTTGAAGTATTTTTCAAGACTTCTCACTGATTCCCTTTTTCGTACGCATAAAGATAAGTTGTATATGTTAACTGTTTATACATCTTGCAGCTCATGTATAAGAGGCTCGTTCGCAACGGTTCGCTATCGCACCTCAACTTGTTAATTTGTTTTACTGAAAATGTTAAGTAGCTTTTGTTGAGCCAAAACTGGTTAAGTTTTAAAACAAATCGTTTTATAAACGTGACAAACGTGTTGTTGTTGTTCTACAGGAAAGCTTATGTTAACTTGGGCTGAAGTTAATAAAATTTCTTCAATAATAAATAGGACTTCCGTATGGAATAATAATAAAGATAATTTACTGACCACTAACGGCTTTGAAAAGAGCTTCCAAAAAGATCTTGGCAAATCTCGCCTTTGTAGTTTCCTTAGTAGCAGCAATCTGTGTTGCAGTTAGGCCTATTTGAACCCATTGAAAATCTGTCGTGCACGTTTCTTGTCTTTTTAGCCAACTTTTAGAGTACCCACTCTGCAAATTTTCAAAAGGAAATTTCTTTTCCACTAACGTTTGGGCTGGCCATGTTGCGAACTTCCAAAGAAATTTTTGTTTTAAAACAGCATGTATAGCAAAATGAGTACGTACAAATTAAATATATAAACAGAAAAAATTAAACGTAATAAACGATCCTCTGCCATTGTTCTGCTACGCCCCAGCGTCATAACTACAGAATTTCCGTCACTTCTAAGCGACAACAAATCGCTCTATCGAAACTAAATAGCTTTATTAAAGGAGTGCCATATGGCTTATGCATAAAAATTTCCCATCCAAAATTTTCTCAATTTTGGCTTTGTATTTAAGGGCTATTGTGTCTGGCATTGTCATGGTGCAAGGCAATGCCTTCCCTTTTCGCTAGATTGAATTTTCTTAATGGATTGTTGTCATGCTGTTAGTTGTCGACAGTAGAGGTCCGAATCAATCGTTTTGCCGAGCTGCAGCAGCTTATAATGCACGTTTTTTCCCCAGTCCCACCAAAAACATAGCATCACTTTTTTTGGCATCGGTTGAAATTTTGCCACATATCTTCGACCCTCTCTTACTTTGACCATGATCTTTTTCGCACATAATTTATATAGTCTACTTTGTATCACCTGTAATTAAGAGTTTCTGAAATGGCTACAGTATGAAATTTCGCATACACGATAATGCAAATCGCTTGGCATATGCTATCCAGACAGCAAAGTTTTTTTTTGTAGCCTTGTTTGGGCCCTTTCTTCCCATAGTGAACCATTCTAGACCACATCGAGCGCCATTTTTTACGGGCTTGGGCAGCATTTATTTGTTAAAGTACAGGCGTAACATATAGCGATTTTTCAAAGCGCTCTATTTTTAGTCCGAATCAGAATATGCTTATTATTTTAGCTCATATACCACTGTCAAATCTCAGACTTGACGCGATGGTCCGATGCAACTTCGCTTGCCTAGGATATGCCACTTTGAAGCTAACTAGCTAGAATGACCGTCAATATCTTCTTGAACACCCAAAAATGTTAACCTGGGCATCCATATTGCCCAGGTTGCTTTGCATGGGCACCCTTAATACATCGAGTCAACGTTTTCCATGTGGTAATAGGAACGAGATCACTTTACACGAATTAATTAAAAAACCATTTAAAATTCATTCGTGTTTTCAAATTGGTGACCTTTGAAGTAACCGTATCTTTTATTAAAAGTTGCAGTTACTTCGAATTTGGTGCGCAACTCGAAAAGCTCTGACCAGACTTCGATGAAGATACTTTCAGTTATTATCGCCAAAAAGTTACAACAATGTATTGCCTTGACATAGCATAAAATGTTTACGACCATTTACTAGAATATTCGTTGGAGTATGTTACATTTTATATAGCTGTCCAAAAAGTTTACCGATGCGCCTGAGGAGTACGCTTAAAGCATATTTCTAATAAAAAGGTTGTTTAGGTGATTCATTCATCATCACAAATATTAAAACATAAAGTACAATGTTCCCTATGCAGGACTCTGGTCCCTGACGTATTGGGAAGCTACGATTTCAGAATAAAGAAGAAAGCTTTAAGCTTTTACTACTCTTCTTTGTAGTACATCATAAGAATGAATCTTGCTGCTCAGTAATTGTCATCAGTTATCTTCGAACATAAATATCGAGTATAACTTGGCATAAAATATGTATCCTGTGTTTCTTTCCATACATTTAAGCCCAGCCCACATGGCGTTTCAGTCATAGATTCACACATGATCTATGAAGTATACGTAAAACAAATTGGGCTAAATTAGATTATTAAATATTATTATTATTACTAAATAAGACTACGTGTAATGTAAGGAAATAAAGTGGTCGACAATAACATCAGCTGCATGTATCCACTTTTTGATTCCGATCTGGCCTGAGTCCTCCGTCGACATAGCTTGAACAGTCCAACTTCCGGTCGTCTTTATATAGAATTTCGTATTTGGTTTCTAAATTACAGAAACCCAGTTGTTAGACACGATATGCATATGTAGACGCGTATGCAGCTATCTAGTCTAGTATACTAACGAAGGTAAGAAAGCAAGTGGCCTATAATGTTGCTGCCATTCGCCTACAGGCGTAGGACCGGTCCCACAAGCGCCACCTATGCAGGCGCTGCTGTCGTTTGACTGTAGTCGTTGCCGTTAATCTCTGGAAACGTGCCAAACTTTCGTCAATGCCATCAGAGACTGGCGACTGAGCTGCTTGGACTTCGACACTACACTAGGCGTCGATGACACGCACGGCGAAGTTGCGAGCGAGTTGGGTGCCTGTTAACTGCGTGTCAGGACGACAGAGTTGCCCAGGTGAAAAATCCGCCCAGTTTGTGTTAGTCAGATCGAAGGCATCCACATTGGCCGGATCGAGTAGCATACTTCAGTGCGGCGCTACTACGCCAACAAAAAACTGCCATCATAGCCAATACAGCGGGTTAGCGTCGACGTCGTCCTAAGACCTTCCATTGGCTTCAAACGATTATCCATAGAGCAAGATGAGAGCAGTCTTCATGAGTGAGGTGTGATAGCACTGACGATGTCTACTAACTTAGTCTCTACGATCGTTCGCTCCCTATGTAAATATATAATATATAACAGTGATAATACCTGAACAATGTAGGACGCTCGTTCTTTTCGGTACTAGCTAGTTCACTACTATCAGTCATCACTCGCTTAAAATCGAGGTACGTTATTGAGGCGAATCCTGCTAGCCTGATCGTCATGGCCATTTAGATTATGGGTTATTGACATATATTTTATATGTAAACACTATAATCTTTCTGCGATTTTGACCGAATAAATGCATTAAAGGAAGGGTTATGTTGTGAAAATTTGATTTTACTGCGGTCCGACTCATAAAGATTTCGGGTTCCGCTTATGAAAAGAATAAACTATGGCCGTTTCTATGCAAAGAGTTCTCCAAGAGACAAATACATAAACCGAAAACAATTTTGATGTTTAATGTATATCTAATGGCGCCACCCAAAAATGTCTTCAGGTACAACTTTCAATGCAGAACATTTACGCGCATAGTGTCAATTATCATAACAAGAAAAAAGAAAACAGTATACCTTGATTTGACGGAAACGTTTAACACCGAAACAAATCGTTACTATAGTGGATGGCAGAACTGCTCATCTTTTTTTTTCTAAATCATTTCGAATAATATTATGCTGGCACTTAGCTATACATAACAACGTAAAGCTAATTACGTTGTTCAGGTGTTCGATACAGAATAAACAGTAACTACCGTCATTCATATTGTTACTACTTTACGGTATTGCTACATGCCTGCAAGCTGCACGTGTCACTGCATGCAGCAATTGCAACGGTACCAATTGTAACACTGAACTGAATCTTGTCTTTCATTGTTTCTTAGCGTTACGAGCGCTGTTGACGATAATGTTGATGTCTATTGTTTCGCGTGTTGTTACAATAACGAAAAAAGCACAATGAGCGGGTTGGTTGAGTTTTCTAGCTCACAAGACAGCAGCCGATTACTCACTGGTGGTAAGCTTTCGATTGTCGTGAACAGAGGTTTCAGGATATCTTACGCGATGAACATAAAAGATCTTCGCGTTATCGCTGGAATTTTTCTTCTACGACACTTATGAACATATTTAGGATTCTCGTTAATAGCAGCGTGCTATTCTTAGGGTAATAGAAAAAAAAAGTAAGTGAAGAATGATGAAAGGCTGATCTGCCGTAGAAAATAATAAGCTCTTCTGGGAATCGACCCATGTTCCACTGATTTAATACTCACGACTTACGCATATTATCGAATTTGATGAAAATTAGAGCAATTTGTTAATCTCTCTCTCTCTCTCTCGCTCTCTCACTGACGAGCCTCGTCACGTTGGGACCTAGCAAGTTGCTCAGATGCAACTCATGATTTTGCTGCAACGTTTACTTACATGATCAAAATAACATTGCTTTCCGATAAGATTTACTTAATCAAACTTCCCGTTAGCTGCTGTTTTCCTATAGAAGCCGATGGACTAAAACCTGATCTGTCGTCAGCTTCTAAAGAATCGAAAACTGCGCTAGTTTTCGA